TAGTATCCCCTCTTCATTATACACATACATGGAGAACAAAGAATTTCAATGATTGGAATATTCAAAGTAAATTTCATGAGAAATCTTCAACTGGTTATGTTGGTCTATATAATTTAGGATGTATTTGTTATATGAATTCTTTACTTCAATAATTGTATATGGTACCTGCTTTTAGAGAAAAACTATTATAAGTTGAAGATAAAAGTACAGGTGCATTAGAAGAGAATTTATTACATTAATTAAAGTGTTTATTTTTGGCTCTTAAACATTCATAGAAATAATATCATAATCCAAAGAAATTCTGTCATGCATTCAAAGATTTAGATGGAAATCCAACTAATATTTTTGAATAAATGGATGTTGATGAATTTTGTAATTTGTTAATGGATAGAATAGAATTAAGCATCAAATCAACTTCTGATGAAGATTTAGTTAAAAGAAATTTTGGAGGAGTGATATCTAATGAAATAATAGGAAAGACATGTCCTCATTATTCAGAAAGAGAAGAACCATTCTTTGCTATATCATTACCAGTAGCTAATAAAAAGAATTTAGAAGAATGTTTATAAACATTAGTTTAAGGTGATTTATTAGAAGGAGAAAATGCATATAGTTGTGAATAATGTAATAAAAAGGTGAGTGCTTTAAAGAGAACTTGTATTAAAAAGTTACCTGATCATCTAATTTTAGTTTTGAAAAGATTTAATTTTGATTTTGACTTAATGGCAAAAGCTAAGATAAATGAAAGAATAGAATTTCCATTTGAATTAGATCTTTTACCTTATTCACAATAAGGACTTAGACAATAAGAGAATAGAGCTAACCCATAAAATGAATAAGATAATCCATAAGAATATTATTAATATAGATTAACTGGAGTTGTTATTCATATAGGTTCAGCTGATTGTGGACATTATTACTCATTCATTTAAGATAGAAATGATTTCAACAAATGGTATGAATTTAATGATATAAATGTTTTACCTGCAGATATAAAAGATGTCAAAAATGATGGTTTCGGAGGAGTTGATAGAATGCTAAAAACAAAATATCCAAATTAGTTTAAAGATAAGTCAAAAAGTGCTTATATGCTTTTTTATGAGAGAATTAAACCATTAAATAATTAAGAAGAATTGATGGATATTGAATTAGATTAAAAGACTTCTCAATTTTTAGATGAAATAAAAGATGAAAATAGAAAATTCTAGATTTAGAGATTTATTTTCAGTCCTGAATATTTCATTTTTATTTAAAATTTGATAAAATTTGAATTGTAATCAAATAAAGTATCAGAACAAATTGTTAAAACATTAGTTTTCTTTTATTTGACTTGTGCAGTAAGAGAAAATGACAAAACTTTCATTTCTAATAATATTTAGGATATTTAAGAACTTTTAAGAAGAGCTCCTAATACATGTGAATGGTTATTAAAATGTTTTAATTAATATCATTATATAAGAGAATTTTAATTTGATTGTTCAAAGAAAATGGTGAGAAAGTTTGTAATTACTATGATAGTGACAGCAATAGAAACAGTTTAAAAATAAGAAGGATATAAAATTTTATAAGAATATATAGATGATAAACCAAAGTCTTTGGTTGCCTCATTAATTAATTCTTGGATTAAAATGATTCCAGATTTAAAGAAAAGTCTTAAAAATTCTATTGAATATTATGATCTATTCTATAGATTTGCAAAATTAAGTTAATAAAATTCATAATATTTGATATCTAAGAAAATAGTTGGAAAATTTTTGGATTTATTTATAGATGCATTATAAATTAATATAAGTAAAATATAAATACCAAATAAAGAAATTGCAAGAAAATTGGATGATCTTAATGTAATTAAATTTACAGAAGATCAAAATAATTTATTAGGATATTAAAATATTTAAAATGTAGATATAGCATCTAATTATTATGATGAATTACTTGAAAAGAAATTCGAAAAGTCTATGAATTCTGGACCATCTACAAGTAGAGTTTATATGTGGAGATTAATTGCCTTTTTACTTAAGACTGAAGGAAAGAATGCTTTGAGTATAGAAGAATAAAATCTCTTGTAATTTGATAATTCTACATTAATGGCAATTTTGGAGGAAGGTGATTGTAAATTAGCCATTAGGATGATATCTGACATTCTTTCAGTTCTATCCTATGATAATTAAAAATAAACAGATTTAATTATTACAGCAATTATTAAATAAATAATGGATAAAGAATATAAGGAATATAGAAAATATTTGGTTGTTTTAAAAAGATTATTCACATTAAAAGATTCTTTATAATAAATGAGAGTAATTATAATAAATTATTTAATTAGATTAATTAAGGAATGAGTAGACTATTAGAAGTTATGCAAAAATAATCTCAATATTTCTTTGAAACTGATGTTTGTTAATAATATATTTTGAGGGTATTTTATATATATTATAATACATTTTTAGATGGTATTTAGAAATCAAGCAGTCTATTAATGGATGGTTAAGAATTAAAGAGCATGGTAATGGATTATTGAAACAAACAATACATAAGCAAATCCAAATGAGAAACTAATATCAAATAATTCTAATTCTTAAAAATGTAATCACAGATTGCATAACATATATTTGCCTATTACATCATAAGGTTATGCCAAATTATTGAGTTGGAAAAAATAACAATTTTTGAATCTGACCAAAGAACCATTTAAATAAAATGAAGATTTTGATACTGATGATGATTTAACAGAAAAAAATATTAAAGTGGATGAAAAAATAGATTATTAGTAAATAAATTATTAAATTCTTTTAGTGATTAAAATTAATGGCTTAATGCAACTGTAAGTAAAATTATGGGTGATTATGTTCATTTGACTTTCAGTGGTAAAATGACACCTCAAAATATTGATATAGAATTAGATAATGAAAGATTGGCTCCATTTAATACATTATCATCAAACAATAAAATACCAGGTATTATATATATATAATTAATATTAATAGGATATAATAATAATAATTAAGAAATGACATTTGAACTTTAATCTGATCCTGATAATGATACTGAAGAGGGTAATAATAATTCTATTAATTAAACTGATTCAGATGAAGAGTGAAATTAATAATCAATAAAGTATTATAATAAGCAGTTAAAATTATAAGTTATCTTATTTTTTATTAAATTTAATTTAAAATACTCTAGTTTAGCATCATAATAATAATAATAATATATATATAAATAAATAATTTAGATGTCTAAATCGTGGCAAATTCATCAAAGTTTATAAGAAAGTTTATGTTCACAATTGAATAAAGATGAAATACTTGAAGAATTTTTATAAGTTTGTAATCAAATAGCAAATGAAGATTAAAATAGTATCAAAAGTTTGAATTCAAAATTATAAACTATTAAAAAACATTATGCTTAATAAAAATGCAGGATTGATCATTAATTTAAATACATACAGACTTTATTAGAATAAAAAAGAAAAGAATTAATCACTTAATTAAATAATCATGAAATGGATTTAGATAAAACATTTAAAAACCTAAGAGATGAAGTCACTTAAATCTAATCAGTTGTCTTTAATATCTAAAATGACATACTAAGTAATAGATAAGAAATTTTATCAGAAGTAGATGAAGAAACTTTTTAGAATATCCTCACTCAATTTGATTAATAAATATAAATGGCATAAAATTATAAGAAAGAACTATTATCAACAAAAATAACATTAATTATAATTGAAGAATGGAAAGCTAGTCATTAAGATGTGATTAAGCATCTCCTTAATTAATCAATTACAATCAAAGATTACTAAAAATAAATAGAACCTCATCATTCAGAATTGAGTGCCTCTACTTGCAGTGATAAAATGTATTCATCAAATAGATCAAGTTAAGAACTTCCAATTAAATAAACTCCATTAATTATTAGTTTTGATTAAAAGTACTATATGCAATCAAAGTAGACTGATATAACAAAATCTGAATCAGATATACATGATAGTTGTGAATCAGATTTCTTAGAGGAATGGGCTAAACAATGATTTCCTTACTGAAATATCAAATTTTGTTTTTATTATATATAAATCGATTACTAAAAATAAATAAAATTTCTTTTTATATTTTTCATAATAAAATCATTTTTTATATTATAGAATCTATACTCATTTTAAATCTAATTTCTTACAATCCCTTCTTAATATTCTTAGTTCTAATCATTAGAATCACATTATTCTCTATGAAGCCTTGACTTTTTGAAAATGTCACGCACTGACTTTTGATAGATTAACAATAACTTTAATATTAACAAACTAAAAGATAAATTCTTTAAAAAACCTTTGTTCCTTGTTTAAATGGAGTAAAAATTGATTCATTTATTAATTTAACATTTGACTTATGAAAAATGTGACATTATCATATAAATCATATATTGATGCATAAATTAATTTATATCTTATTCTTTCAAATTATTTATTCAAAATTCTCTTAAATTAACACATTGAGATCTTGCATTCAAATATTTTTATATCAATTTGTTAAATAATTCATCCATTTATATAATTTTACTAAATAACTTCTGATATTATTATTTATTGCTGGTTCTAGAGAACTTATTTTTATGGTAATAAGTTGATAAGCTTTGTTGTTATTACTACTAAATTCTGGTAATTTAATATGATTTTAATAAATATTTAAATAAAATAAAACAAGGCATGCCAAATCACTTATTCAGAACACATCCAAGAACTTATGGAAAAGATTCCAGAGGTAATTCGCTTCTTAATTCTTTAGAATGCAGAGTATGTGCAGCTAGATAAGGTTTGATTAGAAAATATGGTATGAATGTATGCAGAAGATGCTTTAGAGAAAATTATGAATTGATTGGCTTTCATAAGGTAAATATTAATTATAATTCAGTACAATTGATCAGCTTTTTGATATATTAATAAAAAATATGTACATTTATATACTATCCCAAATATTTCTTTATTAATTTTAAATAAACAATTCATGTCTCTGATTCTATAAAATCTTTACTTAGGAAGTGTTAGCATCGCCAAAGATATTAAGTTTATTAAAGAAAAAAACATAAAATACATTCTTATTTGTGCAAAAGGATTACAATAATATTATCCTAATAAAGTTTAATATAAGCAACTAAACATTTCTGATAATCCTTGTACAGTGATAATTACACATATTCCAGAATCTATTGAATTCATTCATTAAAACATAAGTATATTTTTAAATGTAATTTTATAGAAAATGCTGCAATTTTAGTTCATTGTTTAGGAGGCAAATCTAGATCAGTTTCAATAACAATTGCTTATGTTATGTTTTCACTACGTGTAACCTATGAATAAGCATTTTAACATGTCAAATAACGCCATTTTGAAGCCTAACCTAACGTAGGATTTATTAAGTAATTGAAGGCTTTTCAAAAAGTATTAGAAATTTATGGCAAACCAAAATAAAATGATTTCAAAGTTTTAAATTAAATTTTGTTTGATAATAATATTGAGACTTAAGTTAAAGATAAACTTAGTTAAATATAATTTAAAAATAATTATGAGATTGAAGAAAATTAAAACAATGAAGATATTTAAGAAGATTTAGATATTTAATTTTTTTAGTAAAAATAAGATTGAAGATGAATTTTGTAATTATATATTTTTTTTTATCCAAAATTTACATTATATTTAATTGTTAAAAAAATTTATGATCAAAGGTTATTAGATCGTCCCTTATTCATCTTTATTTATTGATATGTAATATAGACATTTATTTAATACTTTATAAACATACTTAAAGCCTCTTGATTAAAATAAATATTTAAGAAAGTAATGTTGTGCTAGAAGTTCTATATTACATATTGAAGAAATTTGGTTAAGAAGATTAAAAAATTAAAAATTATAATCACTTTATGTGTTAGTGCTTCTACAGATTTAGTTTTACAAGTAAACTTAATTTTAGTATCAAGGCAATAAATTTGTCACTAGGATCTGAGGTTATTATAACAGGAATTTATATTCCAAACATGATATAAATAATTCGATTAAATATAATAATACCTGTAGAAGTAATGCACATCAGTTTAATTTAAACAATTTTCTAAAGAAAAAGTATCAGTTTTCTACATATAAAACCAGAGGAATAATGATTTCATAAGTTTTTTGAGAAAATTTGATACTTCAGAAATTATTGATTAGGTAAAATCGAAAGGATTGTTTATTATGTGGAAGATGAAGCTTAGAGTTTTGTAGTTCCTAATTCAAAATGTATAAAATTATTAAAATCAATAGTAAATCCAAATGTTGATTTTTCTACTTTTTTTTGTTGGTTTATTAAAACTTGTTCCTTTTTTGGTGGATCTATAAGTGTATATTAGAAATAATGAAGTTTATTTAAAAAATGAAAGCCTTGTAAGAATCATATCCAAAAGGGTCTCAAAGAAAGTAAAATTTATATAAAGTTCTAGTTATATTAAAAAGACTTTAATAAATTTAATACCTATGAAATTGTTAAATATTAGAAAAATAAATAGAAGTTCAAGATGGGTCTTTATTAATATTTTTCCAAATTAAAACTATAAAGAATTTGTTGTAAATAGCATAAATGGTTTTCAAAAGAATGAATCAGATATTCTTAAAACCTATAGATTTAGAGTATCTGACACTATGTTAGTGATGTTTAGCTTTGAGAATGAAACCATTTGATGTTGGTTAATTTTTATATAGCAACTTAAAGATAATTAATAGGTATAAGCATTCTTAAACAAGGAGGTCTGCTTGTATGATAAAAAGTAAGTATATATTAAACTTATCAATACATGCAGTTGATTATAGAAGGTTCTGGTATTCTTAATCTATTAAATGATAAATTTAGATAATGTCCAGTTATAGTACCAAACCTTGAAATGACAAACAAAATTTTGAATGCAAGAGGAATTGATGCTTATATTGAAGTTACACAATTATACATAGTTGAAAGTCTAATTGGAAGTTCATATTAATACCCAGTTAAAACTTAATCTTATTTTAACAATGTAAATATATGACAAAATAATTAGATTTTATATATACCTATTCACTAAAATACAGATTTGAAATCAATTTATAGAATTTGTAAAGAGGTTGTAGAAGTAGTTGATATGTTAAAATAATAGAAGCCCAAAATTATGTTTAAAATTATTATTATTAATAATGAAAATTCAATTAATCAATTCAGTTTTTTTGATATCCATAAGGAATAATTATTTAAATAAGTCTTTAATATTTTGATTAAATAGGAAATGTATAATTAATCTCGCAATCTCATTAGAAAAGCCTAATAAATTGATTTGGAATTTATTTAAAAAATCTTTTTTTAACACATCTAATTTACCAGATAATAATGAACTTCGATGATGCTTCTTTATCTTCACTTCATACTTATAGAGTAAAGACTCGTTAACAACTCAAGGGCATTTAGCATTCAATCTAAAAGTCTAAAAGAAAATACTGTCACATTTCTCCCGAAAGAAAGAATTAATTAATTTCCCTTGTCCTTGATAAAAAGCTGAGAATCAAAGATGTATATATATACATTATTCCTTCCATAGGCTGCAATAATTTGTAATTTAAATTACTCCACTGCAAAAACAATACTTTATACTTTGAGACATCGACCACCTAAGATAGCAGGATTCAAATCATTTTAAGATAATAGTAAACCAAAACTAACATTGAAAACTCTAATAAAGGGAAAACTCATACATGAATATGATTATTATTCGTATTTGAATTAAAACTGAAGAAATTTCATATTATCTTTTTTATATAAAAAAGCTAGTAAATAAATACATTTCATCTCTTCAGAATAATTCAAAGGCTTCGGATCATAATCAAATTATGTAGCTTATTAATCGATTTCTTGATTAAAAATTGAATATTAAACAAGCATGTAATTTACAATAATAACAAAAATTGTGGTCTAATTTCTAGATAATTTCTTTTCTTTTTCTTTTTTGTCAATCTCATTGATTTATATATAAATTAGAACTAAAAATGATCTCATAAAGATTTATTTATAATAAGTCGGTTTCGATGGACAAAATTATCATACAACTTATATAAATAATTACAACCATTATTGTATATGAGAAATCAATAGAATAACATATTTACAACTTATTAGATGTTATAATATTGTAATTGATAATTTTTAGATTATTCATTTAGTTAATATTATTTTAACAATCAGAATATTCAAATATAATTTAAAATTCATTGATAATTAGATTATAAAATATAAAATATAATTAATGAGTGCATAACCATAACAATAAATAATATTTGGTGCTTGCAAAGTTAAAGATGGATTGTACATAGGTGATGAATATGCAGCAAAAGTAATATATATAAAATTTAATTATTAAGGACATAGAATTTATTGTGGCAAATAAAATTGGCTATATTGTTAATTGTTCCTCTGATTCTATTGAAAATCTATTAGAAAACATTGGTATCATGTATTTCTCATTTTAATGGCCAGAAGATTAACCAGAAGTAAAAGTTTTTTATTTTAATCAAGATAGTTGTATCAAAGGATTTTGTAAATAATGTTCATGAGTTTATAGAAGAAAGTGTTACTTTAGGTTAAAGTTGTTTGATAACCTCTTTACATGGATAGAGTAGAGCTTGCTCTTTAGTTACAATTTATTTAATGAATAAGTATGATTGTTAATTATTAACTTAAGATTCAAATGGTCACTTTATAAAACACTAGAATATTTGAACTCCAGAAGAAGTGATTTAGAAATCAAAACATCTTTTTTCACTGTTCTTAATCAAATTGAGAAATTACTTAATCCAGAAACTCTCTCTAAAAAATGGGAAATGTTTAATTTATTTATTATTAATTTTTAGATAACCTAATACAAATCCAGATGAAGTTATTATTACTAATACATTTTTCAATGCTCAATCATAATAAATAGATTAAATTTATATTCAACCAACAGAATTCTAAAAAATGAATAATAAATCTTACATTTCCTTAATTGGTTGGACAGAACAACATGTTTAATAAAAACATAATCCTCTTAATTAATTTAAATCAATTCTAAAAGTATCAAAATTAATATAATTAGGGATCAAATGCTGTTTTTACTAAAGATGGAGGAAATAGAAAACTTGCACTTAAATCATTTTCTGTAAATAAAGAAAACATTCCTGAAAGTGTACCTTAAAGGAAAAACACTCCTTCTTAAAGATCTACATAAAGAAGCACTAGCAATCCTAAGTAATTATAATAGCCATTAATTGCCTCTCCATTTATTAATTAATCTCAACTTCCACCTCCAAATCTATAGAATCAAATTTCTAATCAAAGTTAAAAAATTCCACCAAAAACTACATAACCACTTCCTCCTTCAGGATAGAATTCAAAAAAGTCCTTAATTATCCAAAAAGAAAATAGTTTACATAAAAAAAATAGTGGCAATTAAGTAGTATATCCAGTTAAAATCTTAAGACCAAAAATGCCTAATTTTGATAATATTTGATACAATTTTAATTTATTTAGTTCTTTATAATGTTAATCTATGTAAAAACTAAATACCATGTTAAATTTTTCTACATTTACCTTAGAATGAAATCCATAGTATTTGTTTAATAATATATAAATTTTTATCTATCTAAATATTCCTTAAGATATATAATTCATTATGAATAGTATGTATGATTTTGAGGGAAAAATAAATATATTATTTATTTATTAATTAAAAGCCAATTAATTCTTATTTATAAACAATAATTTCTTCATAAATTACGTCAAAATGGCTTCTTTAAAAAGTTTTTTACTTTTTTCTTCATTGCTACTCCTCGTTTTTGGGTAGACCTGCATTGATCATAGTGGAAACGCTATAGATTGGTGGTTTATTTTGAAGATGCCAACAGATAAAACTTTTAGTGTTAGAGGTAAATAAAAATTTTCAATATTCAAGGAATGGATTATTTGTATTGTGATGCCAAAAATAATTGTGGTACTTTTGATTGGCAAACTGATTAATTGGATGATCTAACATCTCCTTTATAAAGAACTATAGCTTAAATTGATTTCCATGATGATAATGTAATGAGTGTTCTATGGAGTGATTAACCTTGGAACAAAAATACAATATCAGACAGAGCCCATTCAAAGGGTATTTTAAGTGCCAATATAAATGGAGACGCATTTCTTATCTCTCATTCAACACCTACGTTCCCAATGCTTGATGACGCATACGAGTAAAAAATTCAATAACAATCTTATTAGTTAAATTGTATTAGGCATGCCTTCTTCTTCTTAAGTATATGGTCAACATTATATGTGTTTGTCTATTACAACTACAGAGGCTAATAGATTAGCAACTGAATATATAATTGCTGAAACTCTAACAAATAGAGCCAATAGTCCTGCTGCTTTTGCAACAGCATTCCCTTAATTATATTAGCTTAAAACAAATTCAAGAACCAAAACATACAAAACAGAATCTGGAACTGTTTTATCAGTAATTTATTAAATTATATTATAGGCTGCACTATAAGACTCAATAAAAATATCTTCTAAAGGTGGATTTACATTAACAGCTTATTCAAAAAATGAAAACCTTGTTGAAGATTTCTATGCTGATGTTGTAGCACCTGCTTTAGGCATCGACTTTATTATGGAAACCTGGGGAAATGGAACAGGTGGACTATAAGACCCTGTATGTGATTAAGTGCCTAAATCATATTCCAATTTAGTCAGATAACATGGAGTATACAATAATTTTATCATATTAGGCTTTTACATTTTCATATACCAAGGATCATTCCAAGTTTGGTATTACTGCAGCTTCAAATAATGTATGCTTTTGTGATTTGAACAGATAAACAACATAATAAAAGAGAGGAGGTGTTATTTATTGCTTTTAACATGATAGTTTATGGAGCATTATCAACAAAGCATTCATAAGTAGGCAAACATGCTGATTTAATTACAAAAATAAAATTATTTTTTAAATAAAAACCATATTAATTTATTGTAATATTTTATAAAATGTTATGCTGTTCAAATGCAAAAAAATAAAAAATTTCATAATAGCAAAATGCCATTAACTTATAAACAACTCATCAAATTTAACAAGTATCAATAAAAATTATTCTAGGAAGAATCTTTAAATATAAATGATGAAGCTTGTACATTTCATACTACAATATAAATTCAACAAATAAACACTATTTAGACATACAAAATTACTTTAGATCACTAAACCATAAGGTATTGTTTTTATTAATTAAACATAGTAGATCAAATAGTCGTGGAAATAATGATCACATTGCCTAATCGATTATTATTTAACCAATTAGAAAAACACCATTTTTTACTTTTAAAAAAGGAGGAACTGATTATTCAACAAAATACCTATCAAATAAGTAAGGGTATACATTACTAGTAACAACTCTTTCAAAATGATCTCTTACTTAATTTTTCCTATTTTTGTGACTTTCATTAATGCGTAATATAATCTATAAAGTCTTAATATATAAATACTAATAATTTTGTAATATGAAGTTGTTGATTAATAATTATTCTAGCACAGTTTAAATTACTAATTTAAATTCTATAAATTCAAGATACATAATAGTAATAAATTTGATCAATTTCATTTTAATTCCAAGTCACAAATCAAATTTCAATTAATACATTATTATTAACTTAAATACCTGTTACTATTAATTATAATCATAGTAATAAATTCTAATTTGATTTTTTGTTTTTTTAATTATTTTACTTTTGTTTTAAATCAATAAATGAAGTCAAAATAATAGAACATAAATATTAAAATAAACTTCAAATAAAAGGATTATTATCATAATTTATTAAAAAATACACATTTTCATATAAACAACCTGTTATTCAAAAATATAAATATTATAAATTATGAAAAGTTTATTTTATCATTATTCATTAATACTTTCAATAAGCGCAGTCATATATAAAATAGATTAAATTACAGCAGTGAAAAGAATAATGGCTAATTGGAATGAATAAAATTTATTGATAGGAAGCTTTTCAAAATATACACCATTTAATAATTTTGAGAATGTAGGTGAAATTTCTAGAAGTGAAACTAATTCTCAATTAATATATGCAGGTCTTGATTTAGATAATTAAAGTGCAAGGATTCTGCATTTTTTAGAATTTAATGAGTAATTTAAATAAATTAAGCATGTAATAAAAATTTTGACATTATCGCAATATATTTAAGAGGAATTTTTAATAGATTATTAGAATTATGAAGGACATTGGATATCTTAATATATGTACTTTAATGAACAATAATTGATTATTGGTATTAAATAATAAAATGGTTATCAATAAAAATAAATTTTTACTAATTAATTTGGGAAAAATGAGTTTCTTTTAATTCTTGGTGGTAGCTTAAAAGTATAGAATAATTTTTATTGTAGATCTTAGATTCAATACCTAATTAAACACTTTTATTAAGTAGTTTTCAAGGATTTTTAACTTTTTATTTAGAAGAAGAGATATCAATTTTAGATGATAAAAATTTTATCTCTAAATGTGTCCCATAATAAAATGATTAAATATCAAGTTATTTTTCTAATGAAGGAGGTACATACACAGAATTTTCAACTGAAAATGAATATGTGAACTCATTCTTTTTATAATTTTGGATGAAAATATTACCTTCAAAATAATCATTAAATTAAATTTTAAGATTGTCAATAAATAAATCTTCTAATTTTATAGGAAAGATAGGAAGTAATAGTGTTATTCTTAATTATGAATATTTAGAAGAAAATTTGATTTATTATTTTGAATATTATTCATATGACTTTCCAATAATAAATCAATCTGTTGATGATCCTTATAAATAGTTTTTTTAAGAATCTATATCAATATAATTTATAAATGAATGGCATTTGATTTAAGTGAAATATCTTGAAAAATAATTAATAATTTAATTAGAGAATTTTATATTAAAAGAATAGAAAATAAAGATCTTTGAAAATGTAAATTAATTTACAAATACAAAAATGAAAATTTATTTTGGAGGAAATCAATATTAAATGAATTAAAACAGATTAGAAATTGGATATGTTAAATTTTAAAATTGTTTCGATAATAATTATTAAATTTAATATTGTCATAATACTTGTAAAACTTGTTTTGGACCATTTAGATCTTAATGTTTAAGTTGTTTTGATTATTAGAATAGAATTTATGATAATATTCAAAAGAGTTGTAATTGCAAATCATGGCATTATGAAAATTAGGCAGATCATATTTGTATAGGATAAGAATAAAAATAGTATTTAGAAATAAAAGAATATCTTAAAAATGATCCAAAATTTGATGAAAATGATAAATTTAGAACCTGTGCTTTTGGTTATTTTTTATTTAATGATGAATGTATTTAATGGTATAAATTAATATTTATTACATAGTCCATCAGCATCATAAAAAAATTATATTATTTGTATTAATTGTTTAATAAATCATGATACTTGGATTTATGAAGGTAAGTGTGGTAATATATTTATTTAACAACCAGGAATTGAAAATGCTGTTTATAATGAATTAGGTGTAAGTTCTATTGATATTTTAAAAGAATTCATTCTAATAGATAATGAATTATCATCATGTGGGTATTGTGATTAATGTTCAGATTTTGAAATTTAGAATAATTATAATGATTGTTTTTTGTATCCTTTTAAACATGCAGAAAAACCTTATTATATAACTTGTCGCTATGGATATGATGCTGAAACTTTTAAATGTAAGTATAATCCAAAACCCTATTTTTAAAGATTCTGTGAATCAAATTGTGGATAATGTAATTTTGATGGTTCTTGCAAATATTGTAAAAGTCCAACTGAATATTTCTTTACTTGGGAAAGAAAATGTAGATTATGCAAAGTTAAAAACTGCAAATATTGTTTTTAATATAATAGATATGATCATAGTTAAGTTTCAGTGAATTCTGATATAGAATAAATTTTAATATCTTAAAATGAAGAAGATTATATTATGGCATGTGCTTTATGTAATTAAGGTTATGTATTCAATTTTTAGATAAATGAATGTGTTTTATAATAACTAAATTCTCCATGCAATAATGGCTATATAGATGAAAATTTATAATTTGTTTGCACTAATTCATTAGGAATTTTCAATCAGCAAGAAAATAATCTTGTTTCATAATTTCATGATTGCTTGAAATATTTTACAAATTGTTAATCTTGTATTTAAGATAGTTTAAAAATGATTTATTGTATCAAATGTTTAGATGGATATTATTTAGATTATCATAATGGTTTATGTTTCACATGTTCATAAAAATTCCAAAATTCAAGAACATGCAAAACTGAAACTTCATCATAAGATTCTTGGAAATATGATTTAGTAAGCTTTTTTTTGAATTTTATACCTAATAGTACTCCTATATAATTGATTGGAAATTATTATTTAACAGACTATATTCTTTTAGAATGCAATGAAGGCTTTCTTTTATCTGTGGCTTCATGTATACCAATGATAGAGAATAGATGTGCTAATTGGCATAATAAAGGTTATTGTTCTAAATGTCAAAATTTAGATCAGGGATATGATGCTTAAACATTTTTTTATGGTAGATGTTAAATTTGTCCATATCCATGTAGATTTTGTGTTCCTATATCTGATTTTACAATTAATCAAATAAATCCTTATTTTATAATTAATGAAGATACAAAGGCTTAAACTTATAAGTGTTTATTAAACCAAAATCAAAATGAAACTTTTATTCATCAGTAATCTGGGCAACAACTATCCAAAGACACAAATAACCAAAAATTTTTACTTTCAATATAAAAACCTTAATTTCCAGATTCACCTATTTCGAATGCTCAAGCTTATATTGATTTTGAATATTTAAAAAGAAGAAAGGTAAGTACTTATATTGATAATTATAATGCCTTTAGAGAAGAAGATCCTATAAACTTAAGAGCTTTCCTATTTTTTATTTTCAATTCAACTGTTCTCTATGATGGATATAATGATACATTTCATGAAAAATAGATATCCATTATTAATTAAACAACAGTTAACATATAAAATGTTTAATTTTATTCTTAAAAAAACAAAATTATTATTTCCTCACAATTAGGTGTTAGTATTTACATTCATAATATTACATTACATAATTAAGTTAGAGATAGTCCCTTAATAATAATAACAAATTTTACATATTTATTTATTTAAAAATTAGATATTTAAGATATTACTTTACTTAATACTTCTCTTTTTAATTTAAACTAAAATGATAATTAAACTAAATTTTATTCAGTAGTAATTTAAGAGATAATTTTGAAAAACTGTATTTTTCTAAATAGTTCTTTTATTTATCTTTTTACTAAATTTTATTATATTGATTAATTTAAAATCAATAAAATAATTTTAAATAATTGTTCATTTGAAAATTCTTAATTCAATAAATTTGGAGATTAATTAATCGTTGTTAATAATTTTGTATTAGAAGATTTTAAAATTATCAATTCTAATTTAATCAATAGTGAATTAATATTACTTCAAAATTCCAATTTTAATTTAATTGATGGAATAATTTTACAAAATTGCAAATTGAATTTAACTACATTAGTATCACTTAGCCCTTATAGCATATTAAACCAAATGGAATTTTATAATATAATTTTGTATAATTCAGTATTCATAATATATACAGAAACTATTATTTCTGGATACAAACATTAAATAAATGAATTGTATATGGAAAGTATCTTAATTTGTGGTAAAAATCCAATTAAAATTTCTCAAAATTTACTTGAAACTTCTTTTATTGAAGTGAAAAAGGTTACATTAAATTAAATACAGTTTAATTGTCAATTTTAATAAGATATGCAAGAAAAAAAATCAATATGTATATTTGATTTATAAAGCAATAAAATAGATATATCACTAATAAGGAATGATTAAATTTATAATTATTGGATTTTATGTATTAACAATTCAAATATAATCAATATAGATGATATTCATCTAAATTCTAATCATAAACTTAAATATGATCCTAATAAAAATTACTCAAAATTAAGTCCTTTGAATTCAGGATTTCTATATTTAAAATAAGTTATAACAGCTACTTTTTCAAACATCATTATAAGATCTTAGAGCCTATTAGATTCATCTATGATTTATATCAACTCAAAAAATGAATAATAAATAAAAACTTAATCACTTAAATTTTCAAATGTAGTATTTGAAAATAATTTGTTGATTAAAATCTAAAGTTTTTCAATAACAACTTTACTTTATGTAGAATTCGAAGATAAATGTATTATAACAATTTCTAATATTACTTTTATTTCAAATTACATAAGACATCTTATTTTTGATTACTTTACAATCTCCCCAAGTCTTATTTGTATTATAACCTAATCTTTGACTTAATTATAAAATGCTATATTTTATTAAAATGAAAATGTAAATTCCTGCTTTCCATCTTTATATATTAAATCTTCAGAGATTTAAATTGAAAATATAACTGTATAAGGTATTAATGTATTTAATTTTGATTTAATAAGTTATTTTTCTGAAAATAATATCTTTAATTATGGAGGTTTCTCTTATTTATATGGTTAGTAAATTACAATTATTGATTCAAAATTTGAAAATGAATTGGCTTTAGAAATTGCATATTTTTATATTTATCTATATAATTAAGGTAATATGAAAATTATTAAAACCTCATTTCATAGTATAATAGTTTCAACTGAGTAGGATAATAATTATAATAGAGCAGTATTTGAGATAGATGCTACAAGTTCAAATTTAAATTTTGAAATGAATTATGTTTAAATTTCAAATGTTTTAAGTCGATATTCTTCTGGTTTCTTAAAAATTAGTCCTTCTAGAATTAAAAATTAATTGTAATTAAATAATATTAAGGTAAAAAATGTTTTATCAAAACACCAACACATTTTAGATTTAACTTGTATGAATTATGTTGATAATTCAGTATAAATTACTGATTTTTCTTTAAAATTAGAAAAAGAATATTATAAGAAATATAATGAATTTGTTGATAATAAAAATAATCTAAATTAATTATCTTATATAGATATTTAAGGAATGATTATAATAACTAATAGGTATAAAATTAATTAATATATATAGTTCTATAATATTTAAAAAATTGCATTTTAGTGGTTTTGCTCCAATAACTATTTTATGCCTTTTAGATAATTCTAAAATTTTGATCACTAATTTAGTTATAGAATAAATAGAAGTGGCTACAAAAAAGTTAAATATTATATAACATGAATATTCTGGAAATTAATTAAAGATAATTAATTTGTATCTTTGTTATTTAATAATAAAAAATGCATATAATGAAATAGATACTAATGTTGAATCATTCTTTGAAATCTTATAAAATTTTCCGAAAAGATTAATTTTAAGAGATTTTCTTATCATCAATAATACATGTTAAACCTGTAAAAATGGATTGATTTATTTTCAATAAATTGAAAAACTTTTAATACATAATTCAATCATTTACAATAATCAATGTGGTAAATTCACTTGTTTGATGCTTAATCAAGTGAATCAGAGTGTAATTAAATAAAGTAAATTTATTAGAAATTCTGGAACTTAAGGTGGAGCCTTAAACATAAAAACTACCAAAATATAAATGAAAAATATTTTATTTTTGCAAAATGATGCTGAAAATGGTGGAGCTTTGTATTTATCATCTACTTCAATGAAATTAGACATATTAATATAAGATTTATATCTAATTTAAAATAAAGCTAATATTGGAGGAGCTATTTATTTAGAAAATCATAATTTTAGAAAAGAGGAGTTGTTACAAGTATATTTCTTGAAAAATATTGGATAAGAATATATAGATAATATTAGAGAAAATCCAATCTAATTAAAATTATCAATATTTAATTAAGAATTGGATACTAAATCAATGTCTAATATTGGATCACCTAATTTTGAAAAATATAAACTTAATACAAATATCATTTATATACCAAGTGGACAATAAATAAATAATTATAGTATTTAGAATCTAGAAAGACAAGTTTTCATCATTTATAATTTAAATCCAAAATTATATGCAATTAACAATTTAGGAGAAAAATAAATAAATTTATAAAAATACAAATGCGTTTTAAAATAATAATAAAATTAAAAAAATGATTTATTCTAAAATCAAGAATATATTATACCTTTTAATTAAGACACCCAATCATTTGATTTTTCAAATTTAATTATAAATTTGGATCCTTATATTAAAAATGAAACAATCTTTGTTTTTGATTGTGATTGTTTTACTGAATCTTAATATAAGTTTTATTTAAGTGTTAAATCATTTCCATGCCAAGTAGGTGAATTTTATTATTTTAATTAATGTATTAAATGTGAAGAATCTAAAGGTTTCTATTCAGTTGAACCTAAAGCTACTTTTTGTTAGAAAATAGATCCAAATATTATTTAAGAAAATACAGCAAGTGAAATCTCATTATAGCCAGGTTATTGGAGGCCAAATTATAGAAGCAAATATATCAATAAATGTACAAGATAGAAGATATAATGTCTCGGAGGATGGAAACCAGGAGATCAATCATGTAATTTAGGTTATATTGGAGCTTTATGTGAAGAATGTGATATATATAATATCAAAGGAGATGGCCAATATTATAAAAATAAAAATAGCAAATGTGTTTTTTGCAGTGATTTTGGATTTTCAATATTCATATCACTATTATTTGGATCATTGTATCAATTTTCATTATTTCTTTTAGAACCATAGGTTCAATGATATTAACTGTAAGCAGTGTTAACACTATTTTTAAAAGCTTTCTGAAATTAAAATTAACATCAAAGCATTATAAGGTCTTATTTAATCATAGTTTAGGTAGAAAATATATTTTATATATAGATTAATCGGCTGCTTTAATTAAAACGGTTGTCAATTATTTTTAGATCTTAGTCAGAATTAAATCTTTTCAATTAGAACTTTATTTTAATATTATTGATGTTCTTACTCCTTTAAGCAATCCTATAAGCACATCATCTTATACATATGAATGTTTTTTAACCTAATAAACAGAATTACAGATTATTTACATTAGTCTCATTATTAACATTTTGGCACCAATCTTTTTCTATTTTATATTTTTAACAGTTTATATGCTTTTAATTTTTAAAAAGAAACTAAAACTTACACCAACTATCTATGCAACTGCCATATTTTATTTATTTTTTTATGCCCAACCTAATATCATTCTAGAATTAGGAGAATTAATTACATCAAGAAATATTTCTGAAATTTAATACATAAATCGAAATGTCTCTATTCTATACTTTACAAAAACTCATATTTCTTGGGTTCTATTTTTTATTACACCAGTTTTACTCATAATTGGTATTATAATCCCACTTATTTTATTCCTAATATTATATAAGAAAAGATACCATTTTAATTAAGAAAAAGTTAGAAAAATATGGGGCTATATATTTAATGATTATAAGGAATCCTCATTTTATTGGGAAATTTTTAGAGTATCTGAAAGAGAAATTATATTATTATCACTTATAATATTTGAAGAGCAAATTGAAATTAAGGGTATATTAACATTTTTGATATTGTTTTTGTATCATATAATTGTTTAAAACAAAAAACCTTTTAATATGGAAACACTAAATCGATTTGAATAAAAATGCATTACATTATCTAGTTTGATTTTTCTGATTTGTGGTATTAAATATCAAATTTAAATATTACAAATAGTATCAATAGATTTCATATTACAAACACTTCTATTAATTGTATTCATAATCTTTTTTTACATCTTAATAAGTTAAACAATTTCAACATACTATCAAAAATATAATGATAGATTAGATGGTATTCGAAAAATCTTGTTATAAAGATTCCCAAAAATCATTCAGATATGCCCTTAATTGAAAAATTATCTTAAATTGAGAGTTGAAATCAAAAATAAATTGAAATCAAGAGTTAAATTAGTTAAGGAAGCCTTAATTATATCCAAAGGCGAAAATATAATGTAAAGTTAGCATAACAATCTACTCTCGTTTTCTTTATAAAAAAGTATTTATCCTGAAGAATAAGCTTAAAATCTTTCAAATCTATTGACAAATTAAAAAAATAATGAAAAAGAGAAAACACATTTTGTAAAAGATTTAGTATCTATTCATTGATAATATTAAAAATAATCGATATATAATATAAAATAATTTATTCACTAATTCTAATTTGTATATATTAAAAACTTTTAATAATTTTAACAAAGAATTTTGACAATCAAAATATTTTAATTAAGAAAAATTTAGTAAAAGATAACTTTTATTCATTAATAATTAAATAATACAAAATAAACTATTATCATAGATGTCTTAATTTATAAAATATCTTCAATAAAACTATTTTAGGTAATCTCTTAAGATCCTAAATCTTATTTTGTAAATTGTTGTTTTTTATTTTAAATTTATTTAATAATATAATTTTTTTAATAAAATCAAAATAATTTAATTAGAATAAATTTGAGAAATCATTTTTTTATCAAACTTTTATCAACAATTATCCAAACGTAATGTTTTTTTGGTGTTTTTTTTTGGGTGCATTAAAAATGTTTCTTTAAGGACCTTTTTTAGGACTTGGTTTAGTTCTAGATAATGTTGTTGGGGAAATATTAGTGAGGGTGAATTGTTAAAATGGTTTAATTTCTAATGGGAGTAGTTTAATTTAAGGTTTTTTTCTTTTTTCTTCCAATAATTTAATTGATGGTATTGGAGAACATCTATTAATAGTATTATTGAAAGGAGACATATTATTTGTAATTGATGTATGACAATGTTCTACATGATTTTAGGTAAGATATTTTGGACAGGCTATCTTAATATCTTTAATTTTGCTTTAGCCTAATTATGATTTATCTACTAAACTTTAAAGAGTTCTTGGATTATATTTCAAAATATTTTTATAAGCTTATTTTGGATTTTAAGTTGTTAATTATTTAATATTAACAATGTTTTCATCATCTGTTTAATCATCTTCTTCTTCATCTTCTTATTGTAAAGTAGGAAGATTAGCTAAATTTTATGTAGATTAATCTTCATTCTTTTTATCATCTTCTTCAAATTTATTAAGTCTAATATTAATGTTGAAATCATCTTAGGAACCTGTTTGCTTGATTAATTTTATTTTACCATCTTCTACTAATTCTAATCTGAATATAAGTTATGATTCAAAAGGAGCTGTAATGGGTAAATAGAATGTTTTAAGTCTCTAAGAGAATGATTAAACCTTAGAATTTTTTTTATCAGTAAAGAGTTTTCGAGGGGATAATGAATTGTACCTATGAAAAAAGATGGAGGATCTTGAAATGGGTTTTTAAGGTGTTTAAGCAACTTCAATAGAATAAAGACTTGATAAATTAGGTATACTAGCCTAATGATTGTAAAATACAGTATTATGATGTCTATTTTATCTTTTCTTTGGTTGATGTTCTTGTTGTTGCATAATATCGATGATAGTTTTCTTTTAGATTAAATGTCTTTTATTCCTTAACTTCATACGCTTTCTTTACTATAATATTTCATTTTGCTCTTTGAGTTTTGTTATAATATGTTGGTAGGGTTGAAATTATGGAAGTACTGTTGTTACATAGAGCATTTTTTTATTGTGTAATCCACAGTCTAAACATTCACAAGAGCGTTTCCTATTGAAAGTAAGAAAGGAATGGATAGGGATTTATTTGGCTTGATTTTTGAAAGAGCTTGCAGATAATCGATTTCTCATATTTATTAATTATTATGGTAAAAGTGGCTTTTTAATTATAAATTAATATTAAAGTACATAATAATAATAATAAATTATTAAATGATTATATAAATTTCTTTTATAGCAATCGAATTTCTCCGGGTAAAGCAGTGATTAAATTTTAAAAATATTTATTTAAAATATGAGTTTGGCATTTGATGACTATGGCAGACCTTATATCATTTTGAGAGATCAAGGATAAAAGAAAAGAATGAAGGGTTTGGAGGCTTATAAGAGTAATATTTTAGCTGCAAAGGCAATTGCTAATACTTTATAGTCTTCACTTGGTCCTAAAGGTATGGATAAGATGTTGGTTTCACCTGATGGTGATGTGTCAGTCACTAATGATGGTGCAACAATAGTTGAAAAAATGGTAACAATAATCAAATATTTAATTATTTAGGAAATATAACATCCAACAGCAAAATTATTAGTTGAGTTGTCATAATCATAAGATGCTGAGATAGGAGATGGAACAACAGGAGTAGTTGTTTTAGCTGGAAAATTATTGGAATAAGCATTAACATTGTTGGATAAGGGAATTCATCCATTGAAAATTAGTGATGGTTTTGATAGAGCCTGTGATGTTGCCATAAGTATATATTAATATCTTAAAATTAGAACATTTAGAATAAATTGCTGAAGAAATAGACATTTAAGCAAATGACCATGAAGCATTAATTTAAGCAGCTTGCACTGCTTTGGGATCAAAAGTTGTATCTAAGAGAAAAAGAGAATTAGGAAAAATAGCTGTAACTGCTGTTTTAGATGTTGCTGATCTTACAAGAAAAGATGTCAATTTAGACCTTATTAAAATTTAAACAAAAACTGGTGGTAGTGTTGAAGATACCAGATTAATATCGGGTATCCTTATTGACAAAGATATGAGTCATCCATAAATGCAAAAAGAAGTTACAGATGCTAAAATATGTTTATTAACATGTCCTTTTGAACCTCCTAAACCTAAAACAAAGCATAATATTAATATTTCCAATGCTGAAGACTATAATAAACTTTATCAATAAGAATAACAATACTTTATTGATATGGTAAAGCTTGTTAAAAATAGTGGTGCCAATATAGCTTTATGTTAATGGGGATTTGATGATGAAGCTAATCATTTATTATTATAAAATAATTTACCTGCTGTTAGATGGGTATCAGGAACAGATGTTGAATTAATTGCTATGGCTACTGGAGCTAGAATTATTCCAAGATTTTAAGAAATTACACCTGAAAAATTAGGAAAAGCAGGTTCTATAAAAGAAGTCTAATTTGGAACTTCAAATGAAAGAATGTTGGTCATTGAAAATTGTTAATGCACTAAAGCTGTTACTATTCTAATTAGAGGAGGCAGTCAAATGATTGTTGATGAAGCTAAAAGATCTATTCATGATGCAATTTGTGTTATTAGAAATTTAATTAAAGATAACAGAATTGTTTATGGTGGTGGATCTGCTGAATTGGCTTGTGCTCTTCAAGTTTTATAATATGCTGATGAAGTATATTAAAATATAAATATAAATTTTAGGTTTCTTCAGTTGAATAATATGCAGTAAGGTCATTTGCTGATGCTTTAGAAGGTATTCCAAGTTGTTTAGCAGATAATTGTGGTCTTAATCCAATTACATCTGTAGCTTAAGCAAAGTCTAGATAATTGTCTGAAAAGAATCCTAGAATTGGAATAGATTGTATGGATTTGGTATTTCATATAATATAATCATATAGGGTACAACTGATATGAAAGAGTAAAGAATTTATGAAACTTTGAGTTCAAAGAAATAATAAATTTAGTTGGCCACTTAAGTTGTTAAAATGATATTAAAAATAGATGATGTTATTGCTCCTGATGACTATTGAGTATTAATAAAAGTATATGTTCAAAAGTACAAATATTTAATACATTTTTCAAATAACTAAAAATTAAAAACCCACATTAATTATAATCAATATTTTTTCTTAGATGGTGTTATTTTAGAAAGTACAAGATTATTTTCCATTATAACTTTATCCATTTCATTTTTCCAATACTAATTATATTGAAAAAAATACTTTCACTTCAGTTTACAAATCTTAATATTATTTATTCCATTCATCCCTTAACCTTCTCTCTTTATCTTCTTTTCTCTGAATCTGTTTTTCCAATTATTATACTTTACTTTAAAGGGCTGTGTTTTCATATTCTAATGATTTGCATCTATCTAAATTATCATCCCAATCTTACAATTTTAATTCTAAATCAATTAATTTTTATCTTAACTCCTATAATTTATAATTTTTAAATACTTTCTCTTTAGCAGAAGACTTTTTTTAAATTAATTTATTTTTCAAAATCTCTATTTCTTCTAAATAAAATTCTTGTTTATTTGTCATTTCTTTTAATTTCTTTGAAAGTTCTTAAGTTACTTTTGGTTCTGATATTCTGGAATGCTAATTCATATTTTCCAATTATTGCAATTTAAGTTCATATTTTTAACTTAATTGTTTCTCTTTTTCTTTAATCATTTCTAAATATAATTTCATATATACATTCATAATGTTATCTCAATTATTCTTGTTCAATATTGTATTCTTATTAAAATTAATATAATTTATTCAAAGCATCCTTTGCTATTTCACTTTATCCTTGTAATTCCTCTAATAAATTTAATTCTGTTTATTTAAGTTAATGAATAGTTTCTTCATACGTTTATATTAGTTTTTCATATTATTCTCTGAATTTAATAATTTGAATATTTACTTTGTATTATTGAAATTATCAATATAATATTAATTTGCTTAATCATCTTATAATTATTATCTTAGTTCTGAGATTTATTATTCATATTCTTTCATTTTTTTGGTTAACTTATTTTCTTGTATTTTAAGATTTGTTTAAGATTTCTTTTATGTTTGGCTTTTTGATTTAGCCTAATTCTTTGAGTTTTATTATTATTTAACATTTCCAGATTTATTTAGAATGGGCCCTAAATTTTAATAGATTTAGGATTCAGAATGGGAAGTATCAATTTTCCTTCCTCTTGATTATTTCATAAAAAATTATCAAATTAAATAATTATTTTAATTATCAATTAATTTATTCTATATTTTGATGATAATCAAATAAGCTCAACTTCAAATGATGATGCCTAATGATTGTATACTAATAATGCTGGGAAGACATCTGATTCATCATCTGTTTATTACAAATCACTAATTTAATTGTTTAATTAATTACTTCCTTGGCAATCTCATTCCTATCAATAAGCAAGTTATATTATTCATACATTTTTATGTAGAAACAACTTTAATAGGTTACATATAACTCTGATGATTTATTATACTGATATCTTAGGTTATGGGAGGTGTTTATTAAGCATAGGAGAGCCAACTTGTAATAGATATAATTTAAGATTTTTCTTTATTTAATTCCTATGTTTAAAACAAAATCATTTTATCACTAGTTGAAAAAAAATTATCAAATTTTTAATAAACAGGAAGTAGTTATAAAGTATTTTTAGGATCTTGTTAATAATTTGGTTTTGAAAGATCATAACAAAAGAAAAGTAGGTTTTGTTTATAGCTCTATTTGTCTTCTTCCTAATTCACAATAAGAATTTAATTATTATCAAAATAATTACTTTAGGTATTAATAGTCAAAGAATCCAAAAAATGTGCATAAGGTTAATTTGTTTGTTTAGTAATGTTAAAATATTATCTATCTAAAATAATATAATTAATATATCTTACTTCCCATCATGATAAGTTCTTTATCTTTAGTATAAATTAATTTAGATGGGCCATCAAGTTTAAAAATTGGCATTTATTTTATTTGAAATTAAATTTCTTCAGTATTTTGAAATGTAAAAATTTATTAAAAATCTCCTATGAATAGTATTGATACATTCTATTTCAAATAAAGAAAATATATATTGTTTTCAACAAGCATCATTTATTATAAAACTCCATGATTTAATCCTACTCTTTATCTTATTTTAGGAGTTGTTACATCCAATAAAGTTAATTCCACTTTCAATTTGTACAAATGATAAAATAATATTAATCTATGATTAATTACTGCCATTAATATAGGTATTTTTTATGAATCTGAAAGATTTTTCAAACAAGAAATATATTATTGATTTCTCTATAATAATAAATATAATATACTTATAAACTAATTTCTTAAATTTGTTATAATGTAATACGCTTTTTTCTCAAATTTGAATAAAACTTCTTTTATAAATCTTTTACTTCTTCATTTTTGCTGATAATGTCATTAGTATAATTTCTCCTTTTCATAAAGAAGAGAGTATTATTGGTTTTATTATAAACTAATTATCTCTCATTTTTTTATTCAAGCTAAATTAATAATTGATCATCCTATTGGATTTTATCATCACTAAATATTAATTGAGATTATTTTTACTAGTTTTAATTATTATTTTATTTGTTTGTATTAGATTCGCAAACTGGGCAATAGCTTAATATTTGTTAATCAATTTAATTTAGATTGAATTAGCACCCATTTTAGATATGGATATAAGGATTATTTAATTCATCAAGAGTAAGTTGGCAAAAGTTTAATTTTATCTGATAAATGTTATCACTCATACAACTTATATTTCTAAATATTTTAATTAGATAAAATCATTCATTTTTTTTATTCAAATTCTATTAATTAGAATCTTAATATAAACATATTTATATACTTATATTATTTTACTTGTTTGATTCAATTAGACTATATAATAAAAATATAACAAGAGGTACAAAAATATGATGAGTTTAATAAAAAAATATATTATTTATATTGTAGAAATAATAAATTCATTTTGATAAATATAGTATATTTAAGTATTTATTTTTTTACTTTATAAAAGATTAAGTGTGTTATATAAAATTACATCATTTCAAAATCAGTAATCTTACATCATCAATTGTTTTATAACCATACTTTAAAGTATTTTTGTCTCTTCATTTTAAAAATTATTTTGTAAATTCAAATAAAGATTACGAACTTTTTTGCTCTATTTCTATGATTTCCAAATATTATACGGATATTTAAAGGCTTCAATTAAATGACAAGTTGTAGATTTTGTTTAATTTGATGTAATATCTATAAGTCTATTAAAGGATTATTGTAAATCGTGTAATAAGGATGAATTTGTTAACTTTTAAAAGAAAGAAGATTAATGTTATTTTTAAAGAAAATCTTTTTGATTAAGACTTTGTTTAAATAATTATTAAGATGTATAATTAATGATCCTGATTATGGGATTAAATAGAAATATTACTATAAAAGAAGTGATTAAAAGTGATGAAAGCATATAAAGAAAAAAACCTAATATAGTTGCTATAAATATTTTGTTTAGTTCTGTTTAGAAAGTATTAAACATATTTTCAAATTCCATTTAATATTTAGTTAGTTTGCTCTACCTAATTAATTTTAATTAATTTTACATAATTAAAATTAATCCTGCCTCTTCTATATTTTTAGTACTTATTAGTTCTTCTTCTTATTATAAATTCGTTTTTCTACACAAATAACCATAGTCTTTCCATACAGTAGAATTACAATTACTTTATGTTTCTTTACCCTATGCTTAATTTAAAATCTACTAATAATCTTCATAACCTAAATTAGTAATGTTATAATCATATATATTTGAATATTAAGTAACATTTAAAGAACTTAATAATATTCTACCTTTAGGATTTATTATAGTAAAACTTACTTAATCATCTGAATAATTAAATTAGCTGAAATTGACATGAGAGGCTATTACACCATCAAGAGATCCATTAATATTTAATAAACTTTTTGTTTAAGCTATCATTAATAATTTCCAAGTCCAATGGATATGAGGTTCACTAAAATATGTTTTATTATTATTATTTTGCAAAGAAACTTGTTCTTAATGTTACAAATACCAGATTCTCTCTTGAGGATTGTAATCGGATGATAAAAAAAATCCAGGCCAAACTGTTAAAAAATGGATATCATTTGATGAAGCTATCATAATATCAAAATCTTAATCTATCATTATTACAGATTATGTTAAAAATGCACAAAGATCTTTCAAATTTTGTAAGATTTTATTTGGTTTAGTTTCTTTATAAATCATATAACAAAATGAAGCACTGTAAGTATATTCATCTAGAAATTATAACTCATTCAGACATGGAATCGGTTATTAAAAAGTGCTTTATTTGATTAATTGAGTCATTTAATACAAAGCATTTACCTTAACAATTTATTATTGACTTCTAAATAATGTTTATTAAACACGATGTATGTTATGAGACATCATAATATTTGTCCATTTTCCAAATTATTTTTAAAATACTTGTTCTGATGCTTCCATATAAAACTCAGAAATATAATATGTAAATGAATAAGTTGAGAGGGCAATTAATCCAATAGTAATAATTGAAATAACAAATTATATCATACATATTTGAGTTCGTAAATGCCAATTTTTCCAAAATTTTTTGTTCATAGTATTAAATTATTATTATAAAAAAATAAGATAGATTTGCCAATTAAAATAATAATGTTTAGGTTATTATAAAGTATATTCTAATTGTGGATTCTAAGATATTCTATATAATTTATAACTTTTGATTTTTTTATTATGCAAATATTTAATTAACATTGGGATCGATTTATATAATTATAAATTATTAATTATTAATATTGAAAATAAGTAATGTTAACATAAAATTCAATTTTCAAAAAAAGACCAATCCTCCAATTTATTTTTCATACTGATTTTGCTAAAAGTAATTTTTCTTGGATCTTTTGGTTCATGATAAATAAGAGGCTTAGGAGGTTTTAATTTTTTATTATAACAATCCTACCAATCAATATCATTGAACCAAGGATGACATTTTATTTCTTTTGCATCCTCTTTACATCCTAATCTTTTTTTAGGATTTCTAATTAATAATTTTATTATAATATCCTTGGCTTCTTCACTTAAGAACTTTGGAATTCTTAAAGGAGCCTTTTTAATATTTTCTTTGAGAACTTCTTTTTCTGAATCATAATAAGGAGGAGCTCCTACTAGTAATTCATAAATAAGAATTCCTAACATATACCAATCAACCTATCTACCATGACCTTTTTTCATTAACATTTCTGGAGCTAGATAGGCCAAAGTTCCACAAAAAGATTGATTTAGAATTTCCTCATCTATTCCTGACTTAGATAATCCAAAATCAGTCAACAAAGCATGACCATTAGCATCTAAAACAATATTTTCAGGTTTAAGGTCTCTAAATATAATTCCTTAAGAATGCAATGCTTCAAGAGCTAATGTAATCTCTGCTGCAAATATCTTGACAATATTTTCAGGATATGAGTTTAATAACTCTAAATGAGTAGCTAAATCTCCTCCTGGACATAAATCCATTACTAAATATAAATGATCTGATGTTTAAAATGCCCAATTTAATTTTACTATAAATGGATGATTCATCATTTTTAAAACATCTTTCTCAATTTAAGCAGACTTTATTATATTTGATGTATTGATATCTTCTTTTTTTAAAATCTTCATTGCATAATATTTTTTTGGCAATTAACCAATCTTTTCAACTAAATATACCTCACCAAATCCCCCTTCTCCTAATTTTTAATAAAATTAAAATGATTATGGTCCTAATCTATTCTATTCAATTTCTAAAATTGTATTTAAATTGTTTCCCTTTATTGAAACTCTATAAAATGATACAGCAAAATTCACAATCTTATTCCAAGTAGATCTAGTGTCACTTGTAATAATCGATATCCTTTATTCGTTATTGTCCAAAGGTTCAGCAGCATTAGATAATTGTTTTTTAGATCTTCTTTATGTTAATTTTAATAATCTTTCTACATGATCTCTCCTACTATTTTGTAATATTAAATTCTATTCTTTTATTACTGTTCTAGTATAAGTAAAATTATTTAAAGATATTCCATATCTATTAAACACCTCAATAATATTAATATCTGAAGCCAATTCTATAGGAGTTAAATTCTAATTATTTTTTTATTCATGATTTGCATTTTTCTCTAATAAGATTTAACAAACTTTATCATTTCCATACTTAGAGGCTATGTGTAAAGGAGTATTTAAGTCTGAATCTTGTTCATCTAAATTAGCTCCATAATTTATCAATAGTTCACAAATCTCATAGGTATTCTTTATCGATGCAATATGCAATGGAGATTTTTTATCTAAAGATAATGACTTTGGGTTGGCTTCTTATTTTAGTAAAAATTAAACTATTTCTAAATTGTTATATTAACAAGCAAAATGTAATGGAGTCCAGTCATCTAAATCTCTTTAGATATTATATATTAATACTTAATGTTAATATCAATGTAGATACAAGGATTACTCAGTAATTCAAAGACTTTATCCTTGTCATTTTGCTGTACATGATGGAGTAATTACTCACTAATTTCTCTACTCTACTTCCAATAATTTTTCCAAGCCACTTCCTTTAAATCAAAAACTGGAACTTCAAAATTTTCTAAATTCCTACAATCAATCTGAAGTCCAGTGTCTTTATTTAAAATTAAAAATTTGCGATTATCCTCACTAATTTTTTCTATCGACCTTGGCTAATCTTTTGAGTATGCCTTTTCAAAAGCATCATAACATTCTTGTGAAAATCTAATTAGAAATTTCTATTACTATTAGATATTCGGAACAGCAAATTCATTCTATTCAACCAAATCGAACTAATCTAATGACTCTGATACTTAATGAAACCTTTTTAATTTTTGCTATAATCAAACTCACTTAATTACTTCTTTAGACATTATGAATATATATTAATTTCAAGAGAAATAAAGTTATTTAATTTTAATTTTCTATTTAAATGAGAAACTTATCAATCAGAAAAATTATATTTTTTTGAATATTTGCTCATTTGTATGGAACAATTGTTGAAAATTGAAAAATTTTATAAATAACTAGGTGAATTTTACAATAAAACATATGAAATTCAATTTTATTAATCTTATATTTTTGTAGTTAATCCTTTAGCAGTAGAGCGAGCAGCCATCTAATTTAAATTAATTTTATACATTTTATGAAGCCATCATCACAGATTTTTAAGAAGGACTTGTAGTCATTCTACCAAGAGCATCTTATTGAAATTTTCTCTTCAATTCCTCAATCTCTCTTTATTTAGCTGCTACTTCATCAAATTTTTTATTTAATTATTATTCCATATTGCCTAACTGTCTATTTTTAGTTTCCATATCATCATTCCTAATAATTAAATATCAATATTTACAATCTTTATATTTCTCTCTTTTATTTAATGACTTATTCACTATTCTATTAATCTCTTTATTCAATATCCTTTAATTAATTCAATGTTCTTTGTTATTCTCTTTTTAAATTTTCTAATTCTGTACTCATATTATCATTCTCTTTTTTTTTATTAACTAATTATTATTGAACATCTTGATAATTTGATTTATATTATGATAATTCTTCTTACAAGTGATTAATCTCTTTATAATTAGCTTATTATTATGTTTCTAATTTATTTATTAATTATTCTTGATCCATTGATTTAGTTTTATATTGTTCAGCTTCTTTTTTTACTTAATCATAGTCAGATAAAGGAACATTATTTTATTTAAATTATCTTTTCCATTAGTCCATTTCTTATATCTTAGCCTCTCTATCTTATCTAGTTTCTTCTAATTCATCATTTAATTCTGTAACTTCCTTAGTTAATTATTAATTTTGAGCATATTATTCTTCAAGTTAGCTTTATAGTTCTGCAATCTATGTTTCTTCGTTTTATATTTGTTCTTCATTTTGAAGAATTGTTTATTAGTTCTCCTCAATTTATTTACTAAAGTTTGTTATTTGTTCTTATTGTCTTCTAATTTACTCAGAAGTTGTAATATTTAATTATTTAAGATCCTTCTCTAATTTATCTTTTTCTACAGAAAGTTTTTGAATTTGACATTATTATTAATAATTTTGATCATCTAATTCTTAAATTCTTGATCTTTACTACCCCATCTTCTCAAATATAATTTTGATTTACTGTTCTAATTCATTTTTCTCATTAACAAATTAAATTCTTTGACTTTCTAAAATATCATCTCGTTCTCTGACATCACTTGATAATCTATCCACTTCTACTTAATATTCTTTTAATTTTTGTTACAAATCAGACATCTAATTCTTTTATATTCTTAAAGTTGTTTAATTATAGGTTTTTTCTTTGTTTAATTGTACACTCAAATTTTCAGACATTGTTGATTTTTGTAACAATTCTTGTCTTGTTTCTTCTAGTTATTATAATAAAGTAGAATTCTATTCTTCAATTCCAGCAATTTTCACCTATAAGGACTTTATATTAGATTCTCCCATAAGTTTCTCTTGTAACTATTTAAAACTTTAATTTTAATGTTCGTTCTCCATTCTCTCAATTTCCTAAGTCAATTCAGAAATTCTTTGTTCATTCAACTATTGAATTTATAAAAATTCTTATTCTTTTTATCTCAATATTCCTTTGCTTCTTTCCATCATCCTTTATTCAAAATCACCTCTAGTTTATTTGAAATCATCTAATTAAGATTTATATAATTGTAATGCTTGTTCAGTTTAAAGCAAACGTTATTGAAGAATAATACATTATTCAGATGATTAATTTGTATTTAATGATAAATCTTTTAATTTCTTATCCTTTTCAATTAAATCTTATTCTTATTATTGATTTGTATGTGACAATCTTGTAATCTCTTTCTATTACACTTGATTTATTGATTTTAATTCTTATAGTTATTTCCAAATATCTTGATTTTGTTATGTCAAATTTTGAATAGATTATTCATGTTATTAATATAATTTGGTAGTTTATTCTTCAGCTTATTAATCTTTACTTTATACTATGTTAGTAATGCTTTCTTCATATTATTTTTCCAATCTGATGTATTTCTCTTTTGAAATATCTAAATCTGTAGTCACTCTACTAAGTTCTATTTGAATTTATTCTATTTTTTTCAAGAGAAGCTATTCTTATAATTCTTTATCAGCTATAATCTACTTTTCAATATTGGATTATTTTTGGAGTGATTCAATTTATTGTTTTTATTCACTTATTTTAATTAAAAATTCTTAAATTTATTATTTACAATCTAATAGTTATTCCTGTGTCTATTTTTCCTAATGTTCATTTTCTTTTAATCTTTCACTTTGCAATCTACTAAAATGATCATATTATTGCTTTTGATCTTGTAATTTTTAATTCATTTCAATTATGTACTTATTCATTAATGACTGTTAGAGCTATTCATATTAATCTCTAAATTTAAACGCTAATGTATTACTTGAGGTTTTCAAGGGAAGATTAATATTATTTATTCTATTATGTTAACTTCTACTTATTAAGTTCGTTCTCTTGAAGCTTAAATTATAGATCTCCTTTTAGTAATTCATTTTCCTTCAAAAGTCTCAGATATTCATTGTCTTAAGTTTCCTTCATCTAATTCTAAAGATGTAGGTTTTTATTTGCCTTTTCTAATTCTAAAAGGGTCTCATCAAGTTAGGACTACAATTCTAAAATTACAAATATGTTGGGTACTTGCGTTTATCTTATCCATTTGCAATAGTTTCTCCTTATATTTTAGGTCTTGTAATTTGAGGGTCTATTCAGATTACATACGAGTTCTAGATAAAGGAGACACAGAAGGTCTATTTGGAGAATGATCCATGCTGTTAAAATATTTTGAAAATTATTATAAAAATGAATATGAAAATTGATGTAATTTTTATATACTATTACAAACTAAGTGTGAATTAGTTGTCATTTTTAATAAGAAATTAATTAATCCATTTTATATAATAATTGGGATTATGGCATATTTAGTTAAATTTGTTAATACATTTAATATATATTAACATATTACTTATATAATTATAATCAAAATAGACGATATACGATAGTGATATTTCACATAGTATTTAATAATTTTTATTCAAGTAATTTGATTGTCTCAATCTATAATATATTTTATTAATATATATTACATATTATTTAATTTATTATTCCTAGTTTTAAATTATTTTACTTGTTTATTCTTCTACTAAGAGTCTATTTTTTTTCTCTTCTGCCAATTATTTTTACAGTTAATTATCATTGTTGATAATAGGTTAATAAAAATTAGAAGAGGAATTTAATTCAGAAGATAAGATTTTCATTAAATTATCACAATTCTCATTCAATTAATTTTACCATTGTGACAACAGACTTGATTTAATTTATGTTAATTTTTTATGGGTCATTTGTTCTCCAATAAATCTTAGATTTTTGAGAATTTTGTTGATTTAATCATCTCGAGGACTTCTCAATCTAATACTTACATCTCCAAGATCATCACTTGTATCTTGATTTTTAGATTTTGCTTACTGAATATTTTGAGAAACATTATTAGTTTCCAATTTAGACAATTAAGATAGAGTATTAAAATGATATTTTGTTTTAAATGGAGTTGTTTTATTAGGAGAATTTGGAGTTTCTGCTCTAAATGTTTGAAATTCACATGTTGTTTTAGATACCTTATGTTATTGAAATTTTGATTTTGCTTTAGTTGAAAGTAATTAAGAAATGATAGAATTCTGATTAGAGAACATCCCAATAGACACTTTTGGATTATGTATACAATTAGATTTGTTCTGTTTACTTGAATTTTTGTTGTTTAACATATTAATATTTATATTTTGTTGTTTTAATTGTTGTAAAATGTCATAAGTATTTGTTGATTTCTACATTCTCCCATTTAGAACATGGATAAATATGTTTAATTTTTTCATATCTAAACTTCTCTATTATTTTACATGTTGTGGATTTCTCAACTTCTACTTCATATTCCTATCCTTTTGCTTAAACCTAATTAAATCAAATTTAAGCTAAAAAGTAATACCTTTCTGCGATCAAATTAAAATATTAGAGTACCAGATCTATTCTTAACTTTATGAGCTATAAGATCATAAAAACTAAGTTTATGTGGTAAAATCATTCCATTGGCAACTATTATCAAATCTTCTGGACTAAACTCTGTTAACTAATATTTCATTTAAATCAACAAATACAAAACCAAAATCTCTAATGATTTCTCTTCTAGCCATTTCTAAGAATTCCAATATTGTCATTTTCTTCTTGATTCTCAAAGATTTGGAACATGTTGAAGCATCCCAATATTAGAATTAAATATCAATAAGAGAATCCTTTTATGATTCAACTTCCTTCTAATATTATTCTAAACAAAAATTACAATAAAAATATATACCTGTTAATTGTCTGGTCATTTCTTCAATTTTTCTTTCTCTATTCATATCTGGCAAATATGTTGTATCTACATGTTCATTTTTACCATAACTTTTTTATGGACTACCTTCTTCATCTAAATCAAATGACAATAATGTAGTCTTCTTCTAATATTCTACTTTTCGCTTTTATTTGAGTTCCATTTTTTTTTTAGTTTCTTCTTCTTATTTTTATTTCATATCCTGCATCACAAGATTATCAATATTCTCTCTCTTTCTTTTAAATTCTTCACGAGTAACTAGACCCACAGTCTTTTATTTAAATTCATCTTCTAAAAAGTCTTTATTTGATTAACCAAAACGCTCCTAATCACAGAGATTTCAATTTTCCTTACTTTTATATTAGTTGGTGCTCTCTTTAAAGACATCATTTCTTGGTCTTTTTTCAATTTTTCAATCTCATTAATGTCAATGTCTTTATACATTTAATATTTATATATAATTCAGTGATTTATACAATGTTTAGTAGGCAACCCCATTGATAATAATTGAATACATTATTAACATTTATATTTGCTTATCTTATTCTCCTTTTGCAATGTATTTTTTACTGTTCTAACGGGTGAACCTTTTTTCTTCTTAGTGCATAATTACTATCTGACTTCAGCCTTTATTTAATGTATATTGACTCTAGTTAATTATTATGAAATTACATTTCAAGTGCTTTATGACTAGGCTTCAATTATGCATTCTTTTCAATTTCCTTAGTCTTTTATTCAAATCGTATTCTTGCCTTCACTTCATTTAGATCTTCTTGAGTAAACAATTGTGATTGTACTTTGATATTTTCTGTTTATTATTTATTATCTTCTATTTAAGAAAATCGTCTAGTCATTAGTGATCGTTTACTAGATTATGTATATCGAGCCCAACGATCAATTGTTTTACATTCTTCCATACTATTATCCTATTATTATTGTTTCTATAGCAATTCATCAAAATCATTAAGAATAGCATTCAAGGATAGCATACTTTGTTTCTCCGTTATAATTTTCTTATTCATTAATTAAATGCACAATAATACACAAGCTCAAATAGTAACAACAGCATAGAATGCTCGTTTATTAGAATTAGTGTAGAATAGCAGAAAACTTATACATGAAGGATAAATCTAAATTTGTTATATGCCAGATGCTAAAATCTATTTTGTAATGATCAACACCTATTGTCAAACAATCTTTCCTAGCACTCCTTGGGTTATTCTTAAGTCTGATAAAGGATATTCCCTTCTATACCCTAATGCCACTGCTGGTATGGCTATCATTAATATTTAGGATTAAATGGAATTTTCATTTAAAAAGGACAAGAAGGAGATTTCTTTTTAAATACACTTCAACAATTAGTGCAAATAATTCCATTTGAAAATGCCATCCAAATACCTTAATTCAAATAAAGCATTCAACTTCATTGTAAAGATATCGATATCAATCCATTGGAGAATAGTACTGTAGCTGTGGGTTATATCAAGGCTGGAGGAGAGTAAGATTTGTACTAATTATTAAAGAGCTTTGAAAGAAGGTTTTAATTGGTTAGGTGATAAGATAGCAAAAGGTGTGGCAGCAGGTGGAGAATACATCAATTCAAAAGTAGAGAAAAAGGAGGATGTTGAAGTTAAATAAGAAACAAAGATTAAAGTGGAAATAGCCAAATCTAAGATTTCAGAAACTGTTGATGTTACAGGTGCATATCTAAAATAATTATTCACTCCTGTTGTTTAAAAAGGATCAGAAATAAAATAAGATATTAATAAATAGATTGATACTTCAGATAGTTAAGGTAATTAATATCAATACTAATCTTAAAGGACTTAAAGAAGGTCGAGAAATATTTGTTGCTAGTTGGGATGCAATGGGAACTGCTTTGACTGGTTTAGGATCTGCATTATCAAAGATTGGTGATCAAATTGGAACAAACACTAGAGTTATAGTTGAAAAGAAGTATGGATAAGATGTTTCTGAAACATATTTGGGTCCAAAATAATAATAATAATAATAATAATAATGATTTGCACAATAAATTTATTACTTTCATTATTCAGCTGCTTCCTATTTGGCTTTCCATTCTTTCTCTTATTATAAGGCATAATCAATAGTTCTCTAATTTAAAAAATAATATCTTTACCTTCTTATTGTTATATTAATAAACCCAAAGCCATGGATAATAACAAAGACTAAAAATCACAACAGAATCTAAATTTCTTAATGAATTATTTACTTGCAAAAATGTAAACTTACCAAGCCCAAGGATTGTCAGCTACATTTCTACCTAGAAATCTCCAAAAGGCCTTAACTTTAGGATCACTATTCAAACGAGACACTACTTAAGGTTTTCTTACTACTATAATTTTCATTTTATACCAAATGATGGCTTCACTGTTTATTAGTAGGGTATAGTCTTGAACCATTGAGGAGTATAATCCTTAACATTATTATAAATGAGACGACCGTACACCATATCTAATTAATATTAATTTAATTTATATGATTGACAAATAAATAATCAAAGAAGGTATTGGAGACACTCCTAGATTATACGATGAAGTTTTTTGTAATATACATATCTATAATCTTAGTCTTTTTTATTGCTCATAATTATTAAGGAGAATTACTAACTTGTTCATAAAACACTGCTACTAAGACAATTATTGGAAGAGGATGGTTGTAACCTAATATTGAAGAAATTCTTAGTAAAATGAAATAAGGAGAACGCAGTCTTATTAAGATTTATCATACACCTTCCAATAAAGTATTACTATTAGTTATCAAAGGAATTTTATGATCAATATGAAATCGAGATTATAAGAATAGGGAGAAAGTTGAATAATCCATGGCATTTAGAAGGAGAGGAAGTATATGATAAAGCTTTAGAATTAAAAGGGTTAGGCAATGCTGATATCAAATAATAAAAATATCTAGAAGCCTAAAATAAATATTTGGAATCATTAAATTTAATAAAAACAGAATATTGTGATAGAGAATAAGAATTATAAGGATAATTACGATCTAATCTATCTCTAACATATTTGAAAAATAAATAATTTGAATAATGCATCAAATAAGCTACAAATGTCTTATAAGTATAACCTGAAAATGTTAAATTATTACATAGAAGAGCTGTGGCTTCAATTTAAATAGATGATTTTGATAGTGCTAAGTAAAAATAATATTAAATATATTTAGATCTGATTTAAAATTGGCAAATTAATTGGATCCTTAAAATGAGGAAGTAATAAAAGAATTATAGAGTATTGGTGAAAAAGAGAAATAGATTAAAAAGAAATAATAGGAGAGAGCTAAGAAAATGCTTTTTGGAGAATGAAGCATTAATAATAATATGTTGATATATATTACTTTTTTACAATATTTTAATAATTATAGTACATTTTTTATAATTGCATTTATATGAAAATTACGATATTATAAACTAATTTAGTTTACTTTGATATTAAACCAAGAATAGAATAGGTTTCAAAATTATTTTTAATTATTAAGATAGAATATTATACAAATTGTATTCTAAAATATAATGCATAATTAGATTATTTTATAATCTAATTATGTAGTACATATTTAGAATATATAAATGAATGTCAAAGTTATTGTTTAATAATCTAATATTAAAATACTACTTATTATATTTTATAAAATTCACTACTCTGATAAAGTGATTTAATAATATATTGACAAAGAAATTGAATGATTTAATATAAAATCTCCTTCAAAATTTTAGTATATTTATTTACAATTTTAGTTTGATATGACAATTAATTAATGCCATTTCTATAATAAATGTAGGAATTGAATTATTTTAATTACAAAAATAATGAAAAATTAATCATCTGATCAAAAATTTGTCGAAATTGTGACACCAGTTTTATCAGATCAAGAAGAAGACACATAGAATAATAAAACATAATAGCATGCTTTGTAAATGATTAATGTTATAATTAGGTAATTTTTATATATATCACCAAATTTGTATATTAAATTATGGCCTGAAATTAAGAAGTAGCTAAGCTTATTAAAAACAACTTAAAAGAATTTAACATCATTTAATGTGTAATCAACATTGGAAGAAATATATAGTTTGCATTTTCCTAATGTACAATTTTTTTCATTAAATTAGCCTTAACAAATCAAGAGCAAAATTAATTTCAGAAATTTTTATTTAGCTCTAGATGGTTTTCCATAAAAAAAAGAATTTTTAGATAAAATACCATAAATAGTTGATTTGGCTCTAAAAATGGATTCAGAATTTACTGATTATTTAAGCATGCTCTTAGAGAAAGTTGAATTAAAAAGAATATAAGTGGCAATTTTATTGGCAAATATGTTTTTATGTGTTATGCATTTATAACCTGATTATAAATTATTACCTCCTGTTTTTATAATGGGAAAATTATTTAACAGATAAAATGAAGAGAATGGATAAAATACTAATAAAATTTAAAAGATAAGATGTTTGTTATACTATTTTTTACATGTATTTTCACCTGAATTTAAGCCATTAGAAAAAATAGTATTTACAAGAAAAAAGTAAAATTTAACAATACATTGTAATCCCTTATGTGAATTTATTTATTGTGAATATGGATAAATGGAAAATGTATAAAATTGTTATATAGTTGATTTTGCAAATAAGAAAATAGGAGGTGGAGTTCTTAATCTAGGATGTGTATAAGAAGAAATATTGTTTCTGACTCATCCAGAAGCATTAGTATCATTATTAATAACTACAGAAATCAAACCAGATGAATCAATTATTATTGAGAATGTCAATAGACTCATTATGTATGAAGGTTATAGAGATAAATTTGAATGCAAAGGAATTATTAAATAAATTCGTAGTGTCAATTTTATTGTAAGAAATTTAATTACATATTATAGTGTATAGATGCAGGAGATTATTCTGGAAGTTATCATTCATAATATAAAGATTACAAGAGAGAATTAATCAAATCTTATAGTGGATTTTATGGAATACCTCGTATATGTACAGGAAAATGGGGTTGTGGAGCTTTTGGAGGTGAATGGTAATTAAAAGCATTAATTTAATGGGTTGCTGCATCTTTAGGAGGATGCCAATAATTAATATTCATCAATGATGAATCTTATCCATATAATTAAGCATTCAATTTACTTAGAGTTTTAAATTCAAATTAATTATGGGAATAAATATAAAAATATTGTTAAAATAAATCAAAAGATGAATTTAACAAAATAAATGCTATTGATTTTATATTATCTTAAAAATAATTTTGAGTTTTAAGTTATTTATATATATATATAAGATTAAATTGATGCGTCATTCATTATCAAACCGTAAGGGTATATAAATTAATGGAATTAGTTGTTGATTTTCAATTAATTAATGAAATTTGTCTTGATCTTGATTTGCTTGTGTATATAAATACATGCCATCACCCTATAATTACATTAAGTTGGAGGATGCACTTGTGAAATGTCAACTGTATAAACAGAATGCATTCCTACTACATGTGATTGGAATGCTACAACGTCAAAATGCACTCAGAAAACTTGTGATAAATTTACAGTTGAAATGTGTGATCAATTACCTGATTATCTTAAATGTGCTTGGAAGGATAATTCATGTTAAACATTCACAAAATGTTCAGATTATGCATATAGTGATGGATTCAAATGTTTTAGAGTAGGTCCTTGTTAAGCTGTTTTTAAGAAGAATTCATCAGGATTATATCCATGCACAGATAAAACAAATGACTCAATGCATAGTATTGATTCATGTGCTGGAATAGATTAAGTAGGATGTATAGAAACAGTATAAGATGATGGAAAAGTTTGCTATTGGAATCCAAGCACATCTACTTGTGAAGCTTGGAGTAATAGTGCTTGTAGTAATTTTGATAATACAAGTTAATCTGCATGTCCAAAGTTTTCTTGTGATTATAATACTACAACAGGTAAATGTACAACAAGAACTTGTGATATAATTACTGTTGAAACTGCTTGTACTATGGTTTGGGATATCACATAACAAGTTGCTACCTAATGTAAATGGGTAAATTCTAAATGCATGGAATTTGATTATTCCACTTTGACATAATCTACATGTTTAATGGGATCTAGTTTATCATATAAGTGGAATTCATCAACATCTAAATGTGAAGTGTGTGCATAACCAAAAAGTGATGATGATACAGATGATACATCATATTCTAATTTGGTTTAAGGAGTCTTAGCCATATTGATGTTTATAAATATATGAAATTATTAGAATATTGAAAATTCCGTTTGTCTTAAATTTTATTTCTAATTATAAATATAATTTCTTATTAATACTGTTATCAATAATTAGTAATAAAATAAATTGTAATCATTTTTACTTGAGTTTGTTTAAACTTCCATTTTTCATCAAATCATAAATCTGATTCTTTAAAGGTTGTTAAGTTTAAATTAATCGATTATAACTTAATATTATTCCAGTTATTAAAGCCACTGAATCTTATATAGCTAATGCAGAAGCTTTGCATTAAAATTCACCTATTTGATACTCTGAACACTATTATAAGAAGGTTTCTTATAATGAATTGTCTATATTTTAATCATCATTTTTTAAGTAATTCTCTCTTAATTTAGCAATTCTCTTAGCTGTTTCAATGATATCTATAATACATTAATTTTATTATTCAAACTTGTTTTTATATAGTAAAGTTAGTATCCTTCTCATTTCTTTAGGATTATTTATTAAATTATATTCAAATTTCTTAGTCATCAAGCATCTTATAATTTCAAAAATATTTGGTATATTGGGAAAAAAATTCTTCAAATTTTCCTAAAGAATTCTTAGTGATTCTTATCTTACTCTATCAATTTATTGATTCTCATCAACCATCCCTTCAGAAAACATGGATATAATTATGTAAGTAAACACATTAGTATATTCTCTAAAAGAATTAGGATTTGAATTCAAATTATCCAAAAGATTCTTACAATTATCAAAATCACTATGCTTAACAATTATATTTTTAAGATGCTCAATTGCTTCGTTATCTAAATCTTACATTTATAAAACTTATGCAAATTTTAAGTGATATTTTTCAACATCTTCATTTAAATTAATTGCTTTTTAAATATAAATGACTGATTATTCAAAGTTTTGCTTCATATATAACAATTATCCAAGTTCAAATAGTAATTCAGGATCTTAATCATTAATCTTAATTGCTTATTAATAATCTGAAATTGCTTCATCAAATTCTTAAACTTATGTTCTGATTTTAGCTAATATTATGAATTATAGATATATACCTCTTTAAATATAAAATTAAGCATTGTCGTCTTATAATGATATTGCTTAATCATACAATAATTTAGCATCTTTATAATTTCCTTATTTATTTAATAACTCTGCCTTTTCTGCATAAAAGATTGGATTTTTAGGTTTCATCTTAATCAATCTATCGTACATATTTGTGGCAGGTTAAAAATTACTATTATCTCTATATGCATTAGCAATTTTTAACATTAGATCTTCATTTTTTGGCTTTAATTACAATGCAGAATCAAAATTGTTTTTAGCAGAAAAGAATTATTATCCAAGTAAATGACAATAACCTAATTTATTTAATATTTATAAATACCTTTTTCATAAAATAAATCAGATTTCTCCGTAGTATCTTTTAATTATTTCAAAATTATATCATAACACTATACTGCTTAATCAAATTCTTTAAGATATGTTAAACAAATAGCTATTATATAATATTTTATAATACCTTTATTTTTAAGGGCTATTATACTTTTTGAGTCATAAATAAGAGTTTTGTTAAAGTCTTCAATAGCCATTTAATATTCTTTTTGATTCATACGGGCCAATCCTCTATAATAATGTATTGATTAATCTCCTAATCCTAATTGAATAATCTTATCACAACAATCACTCAGTTAGTAATTAAGTTATAAAGTTGAACTGATCTTTATTATCATTTTTAATGTTTTTATATCATAAGGATTTTAATGAATAATCTAATTAAAATATGTCATAGCCTTATGTAATTGATTGTTATGATAAAGACACATACCCATTCCATAAAGAGAATCAATATTGTTTGGATCATACTCTAATACTTCTTAACAATATTTGATTGATTTATCAAATTATTTTAATCCATAATAAGCTTAACCTAAAATGTATAAAATTATGACTTACTTTTACAATTTAAGACAACTGATTTTATTTTAGTAATTGACTAATCTCCTGCACTATCCAAAAATTCAAAAAGTTATTCATATTTCTTTTAACGTAAATACATATTAGTGATGGCGTTTATTGCGTCTGCATATTTTGGATCTACTTTTAATGCTTCCTCATAGTATTGTAGACCTTCATCAAACCTTTGTTATCCTATGAGTAGATGACCTATAATGATATTAACCACTTACCATAGTTAAGCAAAGCTGCTTTGTCCTTTCCTTTTATTGTTAAAGCCTTTTTGAAATATGGATCAGCGATTTCAAAATTATTTAACATCAAATTTATAAAGCCAATTCCAAAATTTCCTTCAAATGATTTCTCATTCAACTCAACTAGTTTATGAAATATGGTTAAAGCTTCCTCATACTTTCTCTCTAAAGTATATATATTTGCTATATAGAATAATAAACTATACCTATTTCTGCTAGAGCATGATAATGATGTGTATCTATGTCAGTTGCAGCTTTACAATAAATAAGGGCCTATTATAAATCATTGAGCCCAAGATATGCTAAACCTGTAGAGTAAATTATAAATATATACCTTTTAAGTATTATGCATCAGCCAAATTACGATTTTACTCTATTAATTTGTCTAGACTTTCTATTGCTTATGTATACTATTGTTTTTTCAAGAGTCCAAAGGCTAATTTATAAGGCAATATGTACCTTTGCTTAATTGAGAGTTATTTTTATAGGTAAATATTTAAGGAGAACCTTCAGCTTTTCCAATTGCTATGAATATCTAAAAATATAAATACAAGTTTATGATGATTAATGATGTTCTATCTCATTTATTTCATCTTTTTTTTCTTTTGTAGCCCCACTTCCCATTATTAAATTTATTAATATGTATTTTGCTTCAATATGAAATCAAACTTTATTGCGTTAAAATTTGGAAAAAACGTAAAGAATAATATTATTTGTTATATTAATACCAAATGCTTCAATTGACATTATACAAACGAAATAGATGTTGTTGGCATAAGATATATTATTTTTAAAACTATCTACCATCTATTCGATTTTTATGTGATAATTTAATTATATCTAATAAACTAAAAGAAGATTGAATTTAAATCAGTATTTTAAATAATATCTAGTTAACAAATGATAATTGTTTGCATATACATCTTAAAATAATTGAATAATAGAAGCTAGTTAAGTATTTTACAAAAGAATTCTTAATCTATGGACTTAATTTTTTTATATCGGTCAAAATTGGCCTTTCTAATATATTCATTATAAGAAAAATAATGAATATATTAGAATTTGATAAATCCAAGATTAATAATTAAGATCTATTTTTCAACATTTTATTAAATCCTATTATGTCATACTATGAGAAGAATAAATTTTGTATCATTATTAAGTATTATTTATAATGTAGTTGAAGCCTCTTCGTAAAAGTTTATTGATGATAATACATAATAATTTTGAAGTTATTAATAGTATTTTCTAGAAAGAAATTTTCTTCAAGATATATGATAATTCATATTATAAAGTAAATTAGAGTTACCATTTATAAATTTGTTTCAAAAATGAACAGAAAACCCACAAAAGTTATTCTAAACTTGATCCTAATATATATCTATATCATAATATTTTCAAATTAGCAAAATGATATCATAAGACCTTTATAAGAGTTTATGTATATTTTATTATTTTCTCTCAAATTATAAATTTATAAATACAATAAACAGAAATTGAAAACTAAAATGCAATTCAATTATGATTCAATTATTTTCAAATCTAATAGAGTTATTAATTATCAAAATTAAAAAAAAAAAAATTATTTCATGAATATTTATTTCCAAACATTATTTAATGATGTAGATAAATACAAAAAATTAATAGTATAATCACTTTTATATATAAATAATTGGAAGAATATATTCATTACAAGAAAATATTTATAAAATATGATTTTTAGATTTGTTGAATAACTAAATATATGGAGTTTTAATTGAAATTAGAAGTAGTATAAATAGAATAAAAGAAAACAAGATTTTTATTAAGAAATATAGAAGATATATGTAGAGTATAATGAATAAATAAAAAAAGAATTAGAAAAAATACATTGAGAATAAATACAATTTATAATTAATATGTCAAAAAATAATAAATTAATAGATGTGGCTAAATATTTAAGAAGGTTTTATTACAGAGTTCAGAATTTCGTAGAATATAGGATGTTAGTGAATTAGAAGCATATCTTATTTGTTGGAGGGAATCAAAATCCATTAACTCCTATGTTATATAAATAATTTTATCAAAATTGGTAAATTGGGCATCTGGGTTTATAATCTGAATTACCTATTTAACCTAATTTCTTGCTTAATTAAGAAGAAGAATTATAGAAATTGGTTGAATAAGCAAAAAAACATAGTAATCATTATGATGCAATTATAATTTTGGAAGACAATAATCAAATATAATAAGGAGATGATTTTGAGATTTACAATATATATAAAAGTGAGGTCAATAGAGCATTAATAGCTTCTCATTTAGCAACAAAAATACTTGCTTCTAATGGAATGTTGTGTTTTGCAGTAGATAGCAAAAGTTATTTTGAATCAAAATTACCATCTCCATTACCAACAGCAAAAGTGATGAAGGATTGTTAAATTGCACATTTATGTACTAATTTAGGTGAACGAGATGATTTAGAAACTGATTCACTTGTTGTTGGTGCTTTAATTGATGAAGATAAACTTAATGATATTGTTAAATACATAAAATTATGGGCTGATGGAATTAAAAGACCAGCCAGTGGAACATTTGCTCATTTTAAATACAGTACACATTCTACCCCTATTGTTTATCCTGAGTTATTATGATGATAAAATAATATATATCATAAATATATATATGATTATTAAAATCCAAAGAACCGTGATGCCCTTGTAGCTCAGTTGGTTAGAGCGCGAGTCTCATAATCTCGAGGTCGTGGGATCGACCCCCACCAAAGGCATATATTTTTTATTATCAAGAGAAACACTCATATCAAGGTAAGAGTACTAATTTTTAAATTAATTTTATATATTAATAATAATAAATGCAAAAGGTTTTAAGGTTTCACTTTGGTGTCTTATCAAGACCTAAATTGCACATTTATGATAAGGGTGGCAAACATACTCCATCAGGAATCAGAGCAACAATACATGGGGGTACTAGTTTCTCAGGTATATACATGGGTGGCATGCTTGGCAATATTGGTTCAGAATTAATATTTCCTCATAATCATCAGTAATTATACACATGGATCAAAATAGATACAATTATGAAGATCATGTTAGAGAATTAAAAACTACTTCAGGACCAGGATAAAATTGGCTTTTACATGATATGAATTATGATAATAAAGAAATGATAGAATGGACTATGAAAAACTCAAATGTGGTTGTAAATTTACTTGGTCCTAGAAAACATCTTAAAAATAGAAAAGATTTTGAATGGATTAATATAACAGTCCCAAAAAGAATAGCTGAAGCATGTGCTAAAAATCCAGGAGTAATAAGATTAATTCATTTTTCTGCTTGTGGTGCAAATCCTCATGCAGAATCCCTAGATCTCTAAACAAAATATATTGGTGAATAAGAAGTATTATATTTTTATAATAAATATAGGTCCTTAATGCTTTCCCAAATGCTACAATCTTTAGACCAAGTGTAATGGTTGGAGACAATGATGACTTTGCTTATCATTGGCAAGTATAAAAGAGATATTTTCATAACTTTAACATTGTTCCAGATAATTGCCAAGCCAAAAGATAACCTGTATATTGTTATTTTAGATTTATAGATATTTGTTTAAGATGTAGCATAAGCCATGTTGAATGCTTTGAAAATGCCAGAAACAATAGGTTAAACTTATGAATTAGGAGGACCTCATGTTTATACATTATTAGAATGTTATGAGATGTTCCATAATATTGTATAAAGACCTCCTAAATTAGCTCATATTGATAAATAATTATTATTGAAAATAGGTATTATATATATATATATGTTAATTTTTAGCTTAATATATACCTAATTGGAAATATTTCAATATTGATTATATATTGAAACATGGTGATGACATGATAGTTTAACAAGGATCAAAAACTATTGATGATTTATGTGTCAGACCTTTATCACTAACTTAAGCTCTTCAAAATATCTTCTGGGATATATAAGCTCGTTATGGAGGCTCAAGTGAATTATATGAAAGATGAATTCATATCTAATAAGTTATCAAAAATAATCATAATAATATCATTAATATTTCTCTAGTATTTTAATGAGATCTAATTCTGTCACAGGTTTTATAAGATAATCAACCATACCAGCTTCTAAACATATCTGCTTTTCTTATAAATCTGAATATCCACTGCAACCAATAATCAATTAATTTGGATTGGTATTCAAAATTTATTTTGTTGTCTGTATACCATTCATAACTGGCATTTCTACATCCATAAATATTAGTTTGTAACCTTAACAAATTTTATTACATTTCTTTTCTTGAATCTTTAGTAATGAATCTTTTCCAGAAAGTACATATTCTACATCAAATTATGATATAGATAAAACCTATTTATTTTGTAATCCCATCATTATTCTTCTCAAAGCATATCCATTAAAACAATCATCATCAACAATCAAATAATGACAACATTATGGAATTGCATCAATAGTTATCTTTTAACAATCTTAATTAAATGTTGTAGCTTCATCAACTTCCTAATATCTAGGTGTAATTTATGGAATCTTAAAACTTGGCACTTTTTTTTTATTTATTGCCTCTTCCATTAATATATCAAAGTAAAAGAAAGAAAAATGATATTTTGATCTTTATTAGATTCTATATTCAATCCTGAACAACCAATATTTTAAGCTATTTAATTACTAATAACTAAACCTAATCCTACACCTTATTCGTTAAGTTTCTTGCTCTCTTCAGAATTTACTTTTGAGAATGCTTTGAATAGAATCTTTTATTCCTCTTCACTAATTCCTATTCCATCATCTCTTACTCCAATTCTCAATTTTTAATTAGATTATTATTCAACAATAACTTATATTCTAGTACATGTGAATTTAAAAGCATTTCCTAATAGATTAACAATTATTTATTTAATTCTATTTTTATCAGAGATAATGAATTTTGGAAGAGATTCATTATAGTCACATTCTAATTGTAAATTCTTTATTTTAGCTTTTAGAGCGAACATTTTAATTGATTCAATTATTAATTTTTCTAAATTGAAAGGTACCTTTTGAATTTTGAATTTTCCATTTTTGATTTGAGCTAAATCTAACAAATCATTAGATAAATTTAACATATATTTTGAATTATCTAATGCTGCTTACAAATCTTCAGTGATTTCTGCATTTTTATATATAACATTTTGTTATAATGCAAATTCAATCATTTATATTATGCATCCTAAAGGTTGTCTATATTCATGACTAACAAATGAAAGCATTTTAGATTTTTAAATATCATATTCTTTTAAATATCTAATCTTTTAACGATGTGTCACATCTCTACAAATTATTAAAATATTTTTATCTGTTTTTAAAGTTAATTTAAATTCCATCAATCTATCAGTATCTTATCTTGAATAAGCAAGATTTTATGATTTTTTTATTACTTTTTAATTATCAAACATACTGAAATCAATATGTGTATTCGCAGTTATCTAATCTTATCTCTTTGTTTTTATAATCTTTTCTAATAAGTCTTTCATACTTATAGTTTATTGTCTTTCTTATTAAGATATATCAACTAGAGGTTATTTTAAAGAACAAAACATTAAATCTCTCATTGGAAATAAAGATTTGCATAATTTTGAATTTGAAAGATTACCAAATTTTTACTGGACAGAACCACTTCTTGAATTATTTTCTTCAAAATATTCCTGATTTTACAAATGTAAGGTAGTTAAGTTTTCTAAAATGAAAAGGATATCTGCATCTTAATCTTTACCAAAAAGAATCCTTGTAGCATTATTCATGTATGATATTTTATAATTATGATTTTATTCATCTAAAACATTTAATACAATTAAGCCTTCTGAAAAATATTCCAAAGAATTATAAATTATCTCTGGATTAATATAATGTTATTAGATATTGCTAAAATCATCATATTCTCTTTGAAAGCTATCTTTTGATTAATCTTAAGAAGGTTGATCTAAAATAGAAAGTACTCTTTTGGCTACTCCATCAAGTTTATTTAATGTTTTAGTGTCAATTGGCATAGTAGTTAATTATTAAACTCTCTATCTTTTTTTCTCATGAATTATTATATTATCAATGACTGACATTAACAAACAGATGATTAACTATGGGGTTTCAGTAGTAAAGTCAATTTAAATATGGGAGTACACTTATTAAAATATACTTCCAATAAAAATGGTACCATAATATAGAGACTGAGGATTGATTAATTTATATTTTAAGGGTCCCATTTTTCTATATAATTCCTTTGAGATGTACTGACACAATATTAATTATGCATATGATGTAACATTGAGATTTACAATATTCAAAATTATCAAACATATAACATCTATTTAAATACAAAGTATAGTTCCAATAACCTTCACCTATTAATTTTTATATCTCAAAATAAACATAGTTATTGTTATTATGCTTGTAATTATCATGCAAAATAGATTACTAGCTTCACTTCTAATGGTATAAAAATATATAGAATAACAAAATGTTAGACTATGCAGTAATAACCCTTTCAATATTTATCTGTCTTTCATTATTTATATTCCTTATATTACAATTCAATTAATTATTTATATTAAAAGCCAAACATTTTAGTAAAAATAAATTGTTTCATTTTGATATTTTAATTATTTTTCATGAATTCCATCTATAAGAATTGATAATTAAGTTTATCTAAATTAGATATTTATATTCTCATATTGTTAATTAATTTTGATCAAATATACAAATTAAAAGACATAATTAAATATAAATTATAAATATAGTCAATTTTCTAAGAATAATTTGAATTAGTTATTCTTAACTATTTCTGGTGTTAAGTTGAAATATTTTAACTTAGATTTATTTTTTGGATTTCTATTTTTCTTGTAAATGTAGACTTTATGTTCAAATTAATTTTACTTTAGGAAATAATAATTATATAATTTGAAATATTGATAGTAAAAATATTCTTTTTGTATTTTAAATTATCAATTCCAATTAGAATCTGAATGTTGATTTGGTATAAAATCAAACTTTTTCTAAGATCCTGATAAAAAGAAATTTGAATTTGAATTAGTTTTGAAGAGCTAATAATATAAAATATTTGATTACATCCATCTCTTTTTTGTAAATATCATTTTATTATCTAAATTATTCAATTTAATCATTCTACAATTCTAGAGTCTATAAATGATGATTAATTTCATTGTTTTATGTTTTAACTAATTAATTTAATCTATCTATTTCTCCTTATAAAACAATGATTCTATTTTCTAATCCAAGTTTAGTCTATGTTAATTAAGAACAAGCCATTTATAATTGTTCTCTATCTTTTTTGATCATATTTAATTCTTCACATAATTATTGGATTCTTTAATCTATCAATTCTTTATTCTCCATATCCTATCTATTTCTATTCAAATTTAATGTATCAATATCTCTTTCACTATAATATAATTAATTTTTATTACAATAATGATCTAAAGGAATTCATTTATTATGTCATTTATGCCATATTTTTTTTATATTCAATTTAAACTTTATTAATCTCCTCATCTTTAACTCTTACCAAATCATTTAATCTATTAATTTCTGCTTATTATCTATATTCATTTCTTCTCAAATCATTAACACAATTCTCTAATCTAATTTATTTATTGCGTAATTCATCTAATTCAATAAGTGAAGAAGTATATTAATGTTTAAATCTATCTGATTCCTACAATTAATTTTCAAATGATTAATTCTATAATAATAATATTATATATTTTTATACTCTCTATTTAATTATTTCCATTTAAATTTCATGATCCTTTAATTTAAGTACATTCTATTCAATTTCAGTATTCCTTCTCTTTAAATCATCTATTTCTCTTTATCTAGAATCTAATTATTCCTTAAGTCTTTTAACTTCACTATCTAATCCTTAAGATGAAATTTGTTAATAATTGAATTCTAAATAAGAAATTTTCTACTAAAAAGATTCATTCTCTTATTATTTCATTGTATTTTATTATTACAATCTTTCAATTTCTTTAATCTAATGCAAATTAATCAATTCTAATTCATTAATACGTTTCGTATGATTCATTTGATTGAGTTCTTCTTTATGATATTTTTATCTCCAAACTTCTGCCTCATTAATAGCATTATCCAATTCCTCTTATAATTTCATAATCTAATCATCAAATTGTTTACTTCTTATTTCAGAACTATTTAATATAATAATAATTATTAAACTTTTATTTGATTTAAGAGAATTGCTAATTGTAAATTCGATCATATTCACTTTTCTATTTATCTATTTATTATTATGATTAAGTTTCAAGAATTTAATACTTCTACTTTAATTATTCATACTCACTGAATAATTAATTGTATTTAGTATCCTTCTCATTATTATGAAATTACTATTACTAAATCTTTTACATTTACTATTCATTTTATTTGAGTCTCAGAATCAATTCCTATAATATATTAATTAATAAATTATTATTACATTTTTCTCCAACTCTGCTTATTATGATTGATTAAAATAATAGTCACATTATTCTTTAAGCAATCTAAGATTTGGATCATTAGTTGATTTAAGTCTTTCAATTTCTAATTGTTGTTATCTAATTTTTTCATTGAGCTGTTAAAATTTATCATTTTTCTAATCTTACTCTATTTTCTATCTACAAATAAAGGATTCTTATTCTAATTATCTGATTTTTCTTTGCAATTCCTAATCATATTATGATTATTGAGGTGGTTGGAAGGTTGGTACTGAAGTATAATGATTAAGAGGCACTTCAACTACTTCATAGATTTTGGGTTTGAGGACTGTTTTCATTCCAGGAGGTGGTTAAAGATTTCCCATTACCTGAAACTTTGACACTGGAGATACTGATTTATTTGGAGGACCTTGTATGATCTAATGTCTTATTGGACTTGTATTATTATACATTATTTTAATGATAATATTATTTTATGTATGCATTTCTCTATCTATAGGAGGATCTACATTAATGTTAACTCATTTATTCTTTTTTGATAACCTTAAGGTATTTGCTTAAAGAATCGTTGCATGCCTCTCAATATCAGATTGTTTTTATGCTTTCGGATTACTTTTGTATGTGGAACCGTCATTTGATGGTTATGATATCACTAGGTTATTTTTATTGAAATTATAAATAGATGTACAATACAGGGAGCTGTGACTTAATTTGCAAGAATTTGTGCATTTCTTTGGAGCACATCAATTTCATATTTTCTATATGTATCAATTACAAGAGGGTAAAAGTAATTGATTTATTTTGAAAGATATGAAAAATTCATTTTAATCATAGGTAACTAATATCTTCAAATAGGTTTCGCTATCCCATGTTTAATGGCAACAATTCCTTTGTTTTTTCAATCTTATGCACCTACACCTGCAAAAGTACCTGCTATATGTTCTATTAATTCAAATGATGAAAATAAATCAATTGAAAAGAATAGGAGTTTAAGTTTATATCTTAATCTTACATTATTCTATCTACCATTACTTTTATCTTTAATAATATCTGTCTATTTCATATTGAGATCATATTTTAAGATAAAAAGAATAAAAAGTTAATACGAATTATTAAATAAACAAATAAATATTCAATTGATGTTTGCACGTAATTTAATACTCTATCCATTGGCTTTATTTATTTGTTGGTTGCCATCTCAAATAATATTTCTAATATTTGTATTCAAAAATACTTGGATAGAGTAAATATAATAAGATTATTTTATTAATTAAACTGGACCCTATTATTACATAAGAATTATATAATATGGAGCTAGTTTCTTATAAGGATTCTTTAATAGTCTTGTATACTGGTTCAATAGTTATTAAATGAGAAAGAGACTGAACAAATTAGAAAGGGTTAATTTAGAATATTAAAAAACAAAAACCTTCCTCTCAAACAACAATGAATATAATGAGAACAGAAGTAGTAGCTAATTATCTAATAGTTTCGAAAATCTTCAAGAAATTTGATAATTTTTTTAATTTTTATTTATATTTATCATACTCTATGCAAACAAATCGATCAGCAGAAGAATATTTGAGTTTAATAGAAAAGTAAATTCAATTTCTGGAATAATATTATCTAAAAAGTGCAGATGAGACAGACACTTAAATTATATAGAAATTTATTAAAGTCTACAAATACATTGATGAAGCATATAAAGTATTATATATATACATTAAATTAAAGAGTAGTTTCATTTCTGAAGAAGCTTTATTTTAGACTTATGGCTTCTTTTATTAGACTACAAAGAAATTCACAAGAAAATTAGAAAACAAAATATATTATGAGAAAACAGATTACGAAGCTACTCTTGAAAAATTTGAAAGATTATAAATCAAATTAATTCCACTTTATAAGGAACTGATTCTAGATGCTTAAAAACTTTAAAGAATGGATTTAGACACTTTATTAGATTCTAATATGGTTCATCACGTTTATACAAAAAAAGAATTGGGTTAATTTTCACTTTAATTGTTTGATTTCTTAAATTTGGATACAATTAAAGTCCCCAAAAATGTATTAAGTGAATTGATAACAGAAATCGTAATGAATTATAATGTTGTACCTTATCATAATTTTACTCATGCATTCTAATTATCATAACTATTATTTTCCTGTTACATGAAATCAGATTTGAAAAAATTTTGTAATTAATTAGAAATATTTTCTGCTATATTAGCTGGATTAGGACATGATCTTAATCATAGTAAAGTTATTATTTATATTTTTTTTAGAGGGTGTTAATAATATGTACAAAATTAAAAAATCTAAAAAATTCAATGTGCTAACTTCAGAGATTGCTGTTCTAGAAAATATGCATTGTGCAACTTTTTTCAATATTATTTAATTAAATAGATAACATGACTTTTTTTAATATATGACTAATGATGAGGAAAGAAATCTAGCCAAAAGATTAATTATAACATCTATTCTAGCAACTGATATGGTTATTATATACAATTATTTTATTAGAGCAAACATAATAAATTATTGGCAAAATTTTAGAAAAGAGTAGAATGTTCAAAATAATTTGAATAAGGAGAAAAGAATGAATTAATTGATATGTAAAGATTCTCAAATGAAAGACTTGAGGATCGAATATTCATTTTAAATATTATGGTTCATGCTTGTGATATATCCAATCCAACAATGAAATTCGATAATTATATGAACTGGTCTTACTTATTAACCTAAGAATTTAATGATTAAGTATAACAATTTAAATAATTTTCTATAGACTATCAAAGAAGCTAGAGTTGGAGTAGATATTACAGGATTCTTAATTTATAAAGATAAACCAACATATTATGGAGGTTAAATCTTTTTTTCAAGTAATAGTTAAATTATTACTATTTTAGAAACCTTTGTTTTTCCTTTATGGTTTTAAATTGGTGAAATGTACCCAGAACTTAAATATTTATCAGAAGAAATTAATAAAAATTTAGAAATTTTATAATAAAAACTCAAATAATGATTTTTAATATTAATAAAGTTCTGGCTAAATTCTGTACTAATAATCCCATCTAATAATTGAATGCTAAATTCTAAAATTCCAAATATTAATAACTATGTGAATATATGAATAAGCATAATAAATCAACAGGAATCAAATATATGGCCAAAACCATTTTTTCATTAAAAAGAGAATTAGAATCTTAATCTAAAAATATGGAATTAATATAATAAGTGACTAAAGAAATAAAAGTATATTTCTGCATAACAAAAGTTAGGATTTTATGGTTAGCAAAAAATATGATATTCGTTCATATCATTAATTGACATAAATATACAAATATGTATAAGAATAAGAATTTGCTATAACAATCTTCCCAAGAAAAAAACTAGTTAGAGAAAAATAAAAAAAAGTGCTTGCTTTACATGAACTAGATAGATTTGATGAATATTTCAATTATACTAAATTAGATTCTCCAGCTTTAAGTTTAATTATTTTTAAACTCAATTAGAACATGAAGAAGAAGCTAGAAGGGAAGATTTAGTCAATTCAAGACTCGATACCTTGAATCCATTAGGCTTAGAATTATTTGCATAAAGTCCTGTATAAGCTGTTCTTACAATATAAACACCTTAAATTGATTAAGTGATGCTTCTGACAATTTTGATTAGTTCTGGAAACATAGAATTTAAGGATATATCAGTATTTGACAACATAAATTTGAGACAAGAATGGCATTCCAAATTAATAAACATTGTAGAACAGTATACTGATTCTTATAGAGCAGATGTGTTAGATTTATCAGATGTATTTAATAATTATTAATATATTATTAGCCATTCTAAACTAATATTATTAAATATTTAAATGCTTTTGGATTTGAAGCAGAAGATGCTTACTATTTAGAATTATTAGCTATTCTATCAGAGTAAACAAATTATTTGAATTGGTTAAATGATTTACACAACATAGTATTAGTTAATTAAATACATTCTGCATGAATATGATTATTTATAATAAAATAAAATTGAATGGTTTAATTTATATGAAATCAAATTAAATGTTTTTTTTTATAATTATGCAATATATAAGTTGAGAGTTTATATAAATATAATGAACTTCAAATTTTTAACAGAGTTTTCTTGATGATGACTTTATGCTTTAAATGACTTGTCTTTTGTTGAATTTTGGAATTATAAATGTAAGGAACTGACTCTTTTTTAAGGAAAATAAAACTAAATATAATTTAACAAATAATACCCCAAGGTTCTAAAAGCCTTTAAGAATTCATCATTTTTGGTCATTTGTAAGATGTGGGTGAGGTTACATAGTTTATTTTTGACAGAATGCATCAATTCAAGAAATTATTATCCTTTTGTCTCTCCTAATAATTTATATATAATAAATTGCTATCTTATTGCATAAGCAATTAGAGCCTTTGTAAAATTCTTATGATAATTAGTTGAGTCTAATATTTCATGAGTTTTAGTATTTTTTGATACTTATTTTTTCTTTTTTATGATTTCGTTTTCTTTTTTAGTTTCATTTTTATTGTCTAAACTCTTATCATTCTTTTCGATTACTAGTTCCTCTGTGTCATGATTAGATTATTGAATATTAGTTGGCTAATTATCATTAATTGAAATCGAGGTTTGCTCGATATGAGATTCTTATTGATTTGAAGTTTAGACTGATAAATAATAGACTGGATATACTACTTAAGGCTGATAAAATTGAAAGTAGTAATATGGATGTTAAGAATACAACATTTTTCTGGTTAATATTAACATATGGGATTTAGATATAGAATTTGAATGACACATTTGTAATGGATTTTGCGTTAATTTTTATAATCACAAAAATTAATCCTCATTATTACTAAATGATAATTTATCAATAAAATGAAAAAATTTAGAGATATACATTAATTATAATTGTTAAATCAAATTCATATCTAAATATTGAAGAAAATTATTTATAAAATTACAGAATAACTATCAAAACTACTATCATGATTTAATTATAATTAACAAAAAAAATGAATTTTATATTAATAAAATGATATTAAAAAGTTTTATGATAATTTATATATTCATTAAATGTTTCATTCAGCAACTTCATTAGCAACTTCATTAGCACCTTCATTAGCACCCTCTCCTTCTTTTACTCCCTCTGCTTATCTGGCTTCTTCAGCTAATTTTGCCTCTTCTGCCAATCTTGCTTCTTCTGCCAATCTAGCTTCCTCTCTTGCCTATTCTTCTTCAATTCTTTTTCTTTCTTCTTCATCTCTTCTTTCTTACAATACTCTAGCAGCTTCATCATAATCTTCTTTTGTTATATCTACTTTATTTATTCTCACCAAATGAAAATAAAACATTAAAATTTCTTATTTGAAATTATCTGCACCCATTTCATCCACTATAGGATTGGCTAACATATTAAGAGTTGTTATTGTTCTAATTTTTGCAATTTTTTTAAAATCATCAAATTTAGCTAATTAATTCTCTCTAAGATTAAGATAATATAATTATGGAAATTCAATGACAGGAGTTTTTATTTTAGTTATCTTATTTGCTCTTATATTTAATTTTAATAAAGATGGTAGATTATTTAGAGATCTAAAATCCTTAAGTTCATTTCCTTATAAATAGAGTTCCTATAAGGTTTATGAATTAATAATTTACTTTTAATTAAGGCATATTTCCCAATCCATCTGTTGATTTCAATTTATTTTTACCTAATTCAAGAATTTCAATATTTTCATGTCCTTCAAATTCATTAGCAGTAGTAATTTCATTTTCTATTAAATTTAATCTTCTCAATCTTTTTAATTAGACTGGAACAAGGGTTTTGATTTTATTTGTAGAGAGATTTAAATATTGTAAGTATGGAAAGGCTTCTGGATCTTAAAAATAAGAAAGTGTATTTATCTCATTTTTAGAAGCATTTAATGAAACCAAATATCTAGTAATGATTAAAAAATATATTACTTTAAAGGTAATAAATTAGTAATATCTACAATTCTATTTTATGAGATATCAATATATCTTAGATTCAAATGATTAATCTAAAATAATCTATCAATATCCTTTTCTGCAAGATTTAATTTCACATATGCATAAGTGGTTTAAGTTTTACTCAATCCTGAAATTCCTTATAAAACTAATTCATTAAATTTTGCAGTGTCTTCTTTTAATTTGGCCTCATATTCTTCTCTAGCTATTCTTTCTTATTCAGCTCTTTCTTCTCTTTCTTTTCTTTCCTACTCCTCTCTTTCTTCCCTCTCTTTTCTTTCCTATTCTTCTCTCTCTAATCGTAACCGTCTAGTTTCTTCGTCCTCTTCAGGAGGCTTTTCAGGCTCTTCTTCTTATGGTTATTCAGCTTANATTCATTAAATGTTTCATTCAGCAACTTCATTAGCAACTTCATTAGCACCTTCATTAGCACCCTCTCCTTCTTTTACTCCCTCTGCTTATCTGGCTTCTTCAGCTAATTTTGCCTCTTCTGCCAATCTTGCTTCTTCTGCCAATCTAGCTTCCTCTCTTGCCTATTCTTCTTCAATTCTTTTTCTTTCTTCTTCATCTCTTCTTTCTTACAATACTCTAGCAGCTTCATCATAATCTTCTTTTGTTATATCTACTTTATTTATTCTCACCAAATGAAAATAAAACATTAAAATTTCTTATTTGAAATTATCTGCACCCATTTCATCCACTATAGGATTGGCTAACATATTAAGAGTTGTTATTGTTCTAATTTTTGCAATTTTTTTAAAATCATCAAATTTAGCTAATTAATTCTCTCTAAGATTAAGATAATATAATTATGGAAATTCAATGACAGGAGTTTTTATTTTAGTTATCTTATTTGCTCTTATATTTAATTTTAATAAAGATGGTAGATTATTTAGAGATCTAAAATCCTTAAGTTCATTTCCTTATAAATAGAGTTCCTATAAGGTTTATGAATTAATAATTTACTTTTAATTAAGGCATATTTCCCAATCCATCTGTTGATTTCAATTTATTTTTACCTAATTCAAGAATTTCAATATTTTCATGTCCTTCAAATTCATTAGCAGTAGTAATTTCATTTTCTATTAAATTTAATCTTCTCAATCTTTTTAATTAGACTGGAACAAGGGTTTTGATTTTATTTGTAGAGAGATTTAAATATTGTAAGTATGGAAAGGCTTCTGGATCTTAAAAATAAGAAAGTGTATTTATCTCATTTTTAGAAGCATTTAATGAAACCAAATATCTAGTAATGATTAAAAAATATATTACTTTAAAGGTAATAAATTAGTAATATCTACAATTCTATTTTATGAGATATCAATATATCTTAGATTCAAATGATTAATCTAAAATAATCTATCAATATCCTTTTCTGCAAGATTTAATTTCACATATGCATAAGTGGTTTAAGTTTTACTCAATCCTGAAATTCCTTATAAAACTAATTCATTAAATTTTGCAGTGTCTTCTTTTAATTTGGCCTCATATTCTTCTCTAGCTATTCTTTCTTATTCAGCTCTTTCTTCTCTTTCTTTTCTTTCCTACTCCTCTCTTTCTTCCCTCTCTTTTCTTTCCTATTCTTCTCTCTCTAATCGTAACCGTCTAGTTTCTTCGTCCTCTTCAGGAGGCTTTTCAGGCTCTTCTTCTTATGGTTATTCAGCTTATTCTTTTTATTCAGGATCTGCGACTTCTTCATTCTATTCTGGCTATGGCTCTTGATCAATTTAATCTTCTTAATTTCCATCATTTTGTAATTCAATTTATTCTTCACTCATATAAATAAATAATTATTATTTGTAAACAATGATAAAGTAAATTTATAAGGTATCTTATATATATATTAATTAAATCATCTAATTTCACACATTGAAAACAGTGAGGACATATTGTTAGAAACCTAAGTAGGAAAGATCTTCCAAAATTTAAGAGTCTCATCTCCAGAACCTGTTAGAATAGTTGATTCATCTATAAATAACTAAGAAAATAAAATACCTGGACTTGCTGATAAATAAAGAACTCTTTCAGAGTGTCCTTCTAATTAATGAATTCTTTTCATTGTAGGATATTGCCATAGACATACTAAATTCTTCTCATAACCATGTGTAGAAACTAATTCATTAACAATTTTAGAAAATCTCAATTTACAAACCTATGAATCACAATTTATGCTTGTAATTTATTAATTAGTAAGTGAACTATGTATTTTAATAGTCTTATCTTAATTTCCACCTCCAGTAGCTAATATACCACATGAATTAGGATTCCAAGCTAAAGCTCTTATGGCTGCTTTATGAGATTTGATTTCCCAGGATATATATTAATTATTATTATTATTATTGTTTCCTCCTCTCATTTACCAAACAAATACTTTATTATCATTACCACCAGAAGCTAATTAGAGTTCACTTCCATCAAAAGTGACACCACACACTTCTTAAGTGTGTCCTAGTAATTAAAATATTTAATAATTTGGAACTCTGACATCACATATATTAATTGTTTTATCCTTACTTCCATAAGCAAATATATTAGGATTAGCCCAACTTATTGTACTAATTCTTTTATTTGATAGATTCATAGTACCATTGAATGAATTTTTATTGTAATCCCATAATTTTATAGAACCATCACAACATCCTATTGCTAACATTTATCCATTTGTATTCCATTATAAAGATGTATAATATGCAGATAATTCATTATTATTTATAGGTTCTGCTAATTAAAATACTTTTGAATTGTCAACATTATACAAATAGACAGATCTTTATAAACCAACTGCAATAAGATTATTTTTTCCCCAATGAAGTGTGTCTTGATAAAAATCATCTTCTAATCCAGGTGCATCTAATACTTTAATAGGGAGAGTATCAATTTTTCTTTTTGGTGTTTCAAGTTGTTTAGAAGATTGAACTTTGTCGTGTTTTTATTTATTGAAATTCAAAATACTCACATGTTTATTTTCATCAATTTCTAAGACATTTTCACTTAAAAGTTCTTCATATTAATTCTCTTCTTCAATTTCAAATGGCTGTATTTGTTTATTAAATAGATTTCTTGAAACATTTAATGGTATATATCTATCACTATAAGGTGATGCTTGAATACAATGATCAGGAGTGTTTTATTTGTGATTGCTTTTTAATAAAGATTTAGGTGTTTTCCAAGGATTCATATTTTTTGGAGAATAAAAATCGTTATTTTAAGGGGATTGTATTGTAGTTGATTAATTAGTTTTATTTTACTTCTTGTCTTTGGTTGGGGTTGTTAATTAATACTTTTTTGGAGTGACATTCTATTATTGCGGTATCTATTCTTATTACATTTGAATTTAAATAATATAATAATATATATATTAACAATAATAAATTGCCACACTAAAATTGAGCTTAAAAAAACAATAATATTAATCATAATGAATCAATTCTAATTTTAATTTGTTCTATAACTTTTGCATCATATAATTCATCATCCTTTAGATTTCTATAATCGTTCTATAAATATTAATAATTTAAGTACTTCAAAAGCATTTCTAAATTGATTTATTAATGAACTTGTCTATTATTAATCATACTTAAGTTTTTTGAGGGCATCAAATAAAATTAAAATCTATTATATCAATTACAATTTATAAGTCTAAATTTATTCTATTTACAAATTTTGATATAAAGGATTATTTAAAATTTAGATATGATCCAAATAATGTTTAACATAGATTCTAGCCAAATCAATCTCTCTAATATCATGACTTAACAAAATTTCAAAAAATAACCAAGTAGATAATTGAGTAATTTATTACTCCTAACATTACTTTGTATTAATTAACTCTATTGTCTAAGTCATTTTCTATAATTAAATATATTTATTGTTATTGATTAGATTTTCAAAGAGCAATTTCATCTAAAATTTTTAATGATATATATATGATTACTTATCGTTTAAGCACATCTGTTGGCCATCCATTAGATTCTTCATAAGAACTTAATAGAAAATTAATCCATAATTATTCAACTTTGTCTTATGTACATAATTATATTCCTTGAGAGTGTTCTAAATAATCCAGACATAGTAATTAACCAAAGTAAATATTGTTATCTTCAAAGAATTGTAATATAATTTTGCAATCTAAAATATCCATAAGGATTTTCCTCTTTTCAGTATGATAACCTGAAAATAAGTAATTTATATATTTTTACTTTAATTTTCACCTTCATTAGATATAACGAAATCATACATAATATCTTACAAAAATAGTTATTTACTAAGATCTTATGCTTACTTTTCTACTTCATTAATATCAATTCCTTAAGTATTTTTATGAAAAGTTCTAATGAATTCTTATGCCTTATTAACATATCTTAATCTCTTTTTAATAGGCAATTTAATTTGAATATCCTCTAAATTCATTTCTGGACATTAACTTAATGAAAATTATGCTAATTTAAGCAAAATTTGTATCAATTATGGATATACTTCATGATTTCCTTTTACAGCTTTTGCTAAGAATTGTTTCTTTTACATTTATAATTTCTCTAAATCATTATTACATTATAAATCCATTTCTTGATTGTAATCAATATATTAAATGAATTCTTTCAATTAATATTTTATAATATTATTAGCTATTGCTTCAGTTGGTTTTATAAGTTTAAATTAATTTAAAAGTTGAAGAGATTCGATTAAAATTTCTTTAGTTTAAGCTTTATTTAATCCTTTTGGAGGATTCAAATAATATTAAATTAAATTAGTAAATTGCTAAATTAAGTCCATAATGCAATTACAATATTCATTATTTGATTAATCCTTTTCTTATTATTAACATTTCTAAGCTAGATATTAAACATAGAATTTGAAAGTGGCAAAAGGATACATATAATTTTGAAAACATTATGTCATATACGAATGATCTATTAGGATAGCAACTTCTTCTATTAATTTCAATGCTTCTAATAATTAGTCTTATAATTCTGGTTACAAATCCTTATAATATAAAAAGATCTCTTTCTTTTCAAGTACTTTATCAATAGTAATTTATGGAGTTTTGGACAATTTTAAGATCCTCTTAATTTTTTCATGTATTTATTCATTTGGATTAAGTTTAATCAAATCTAATGTGTCAATAAGAATTGTTACTTTTTTAAGCAGCAAATGTTAATATTTCATCAAATAAGTTTTATACAAGACTAATTTTAAAATCTTTATCAGTAAAGAAATCAGGAAAATGATAATTCATAAATTAAGCAGTTTCTCTAAATTTAGTTTTATCACTTTTAATAATATGTATCATTAATTATTTTAATGTCAAATTACCAACAGTATCACCACTAAGAACACTTTTTATTGATAAATCAAATAATTAAGTTTTATTTTGATAGCTGTTAATAATATTTCTGATTCCTTACAATTCACCAAAGAAATAAATCAAAAATTATAATAATTATTTAATTTATTTGCAATAAGAAAATAGTACTTTCATTTAATTCTAAAATAAATATAATTTATACATATTCTACATCTACATTAACACTAACAGCTAATGATTAATCTGAATAATTAGTACTTCTTGAAATATCTAATCTAGTACTTTATTCAAAAGTTTCATAAATATATTTACTAAATCCATTCTTATAATTTTGAAATTAATTTTATTCTTCAATTTATAGATCATGTCTTTAATTCTTAACCTATTAATAATAATTAGATTCATTTTCAAATAATTTAATTAATTTTTCTATTTATTTAAATACTGTTTGTAATTATTAAATTGAGTAACTTTCAATAGGTTTATTACATTCTAAATTATACACTTTTTCATTGATAAATTTCTTAGTTGTAAGAGGAGCAATGATTTTCCAAATCAAAGATGTTGTACTTGATACTTTTTTTGATTTTTAATTTCTATCTTCATTAATTAATGAACGCTTAATCAAAGCAAAATAAGCTTTAAGTGCTTTCTCTTTGATTATAGCTCCTTTACGAACATAAACTTAACCAGTAACCCATATAGGTATCTTTTCATTATCATCAAAAAATTTTTGAATATTTTCTGAATAATGTATTCTTTAATATGCTTTCTATAAATCTAATTAATATTAATGTTAAAGTTCAACATTGATATAAAAATTCTATTCTTCTTAAATAATTATTTATAAAATTTATGCACAACTTTCTTCAATTCCAAATGCTCTGACCAATTTTTCAAGGGGAAAATCAGCATCTATTGAATCAATAAAATCATAATGTGTAACTTTAATAGCAGTAAAGAAACAATCAATTGGTCTCATTCTAACAATAAATTCTATTGTATGATCAGCAATACAAATGAAATGTTCAGGTAAATTATAAAGTTAAGCTTCATTAATATCAAAATGATTAAATAATCTATTTACAGTCATTTTTCCAATATTATAAGTACTTTTTGGAATACCATGACCATTTTGACCATGTAGATCTATTTTTTCAATTGCATCTTTTGATGTATCTCTGTATATTGAATACTATATTTAATTATATGAATTGTATTTAGTTATCTATTGTTCTAAACTTCTAAAATATTGAATATGAGCCATATCAAGAAATTATGCAATAATATAATTATCTAAATGAAATAGTGATAATTATTCTTCTTTGTAAACTGACTTCAAAATTTAATTTTATTAAATTGTTAACATTTCTTTCTGTTTATATTATATTCTACTCTCATCTAAACATACTCCATATGGAATAACTGTATCAATCTTCATATAGGGATTTTTAACTTAGATAACTTAAAATTCTGGTTTCAATTTTATAAATTATTATTAAGTAACATTAGAATTTGAAATCCTTAATTTATATTCATTTATTTCATTAATAGTTCTATCTTATAATTCAAACTATAAATAAAGTTACAATTAATCTTTGGTTGTTATAATCAATACAATTTTATTTGTTTAGTATTGTCTTTCAAAAAACACATGATAAAATTATAGATTATGATAATCAAATGCATTTTTAAATTCTTAATTAGAATTATATAAATAAGATTATTTTATTGTTATTATTTCTTAAAAGAGTTCTCCTTAAAGTCCAATATCATAGATTATAATGAATGTATCTTCAACATTTTCATCTTTATCAAGTTTCTCAAATAAACCATAACAAATATTAAATTCTTCTTATACTTCTAATTAAATTAATCCTTATTGAGATGACCAAGGAGTCAAATCCTTAAATATCCTATTAAATTATTTTTTTATTTTTTCTTTCAATTAAGTTGTATAGTTTTGAGCTGAATCTATAGATTTACAAGTAAGAGTGCCTGAACTGCCTCCATAGATTAAATTATCTTAATAAAATATGACTTAATTAATTATTTCTCCATTAACGTTGAAGCCTTATTTTAGCATTTAAAAATTGTCCAAATCTCCTGTAAAAGTATACAAAAATATATAGAATTCAGAAGCAATTGCCATGGTCCATACATCATCTACCTACTAAAATCCAACGGCTGTAATATAGTCTACGTGATTAATTAATTGTTCTTTGAATCTTATTGGAAATTTGTACTTCTTATCATCCTTCAATAAATTAGAAATGTTTACAGTATTGTAGTAGTAATTTAAATCATCATGTAAAGGTGAAAAGAAATAGAATTGCATGGTTTTTTCATTCACCACAAAGTAAAGAAAGCCATCTTAAATACCACTTAAAGAACAATTATCATTAATTCTTATCTGTTCATGATGAAAATTAACAAAATGACCTTTATACAATGGAATTGCTATGTTTATTGAAGATAGATACATAAATTGTTAGGGATATTGATAGTTTATTAATTTCCAAAAAGTGTGTTAATAGGACTGAAGGAAGTTGAAGATTTCTTGCTCTTCAAATCTTAGAAAAGTGCTTATTGTGTTTAAGTCTTTGGTTTTGCATGTAACATATTTATTTTAATTAAATATAATCAGGAATGATGAGTTTTACATGGCGCCTTTTCATAATCTAAGATGTTGCGCATTAAATATGAGACTGTTGGACACTCATCCACTTTAATATCACAATTATACTTACTTGAATCATAATTGTCACTTTAAATACTGAATCTTTTAGTTTAAGATTTACTTGCTTCACCATCACTGGCTTCCTTTAATTCAATAATTGTTTTTAAAGTTGGTAATCCTTAACGTTAATTATGTGGTTTTGCTTTTTGTTTAGCATTAACAAACCATTAATGTGTAAGAGCATCTGACAAAGAACAATTTGACAATAATTTTTTTATCAGATCCAATTAACTTGATGAAAAAACGTGTACAAATTATTAATCTGGAGTCTTCATCTCTAAATAAAATATTAATATTCAACATGTTAAGACCTCGATGGTTTCATCAATCAACTCATATTTTATTACTAATTCTTTCATGTACTTTAAAAACAATTTGTAAGGGTCACTTTTTCGCTATTATTATTAATGTGCATACTTTCAAATCTTAATTGATTTTAGTATAAAAAGTAATGATATAAAGTAGTACTCCTAATTAATATAGATCAGAATGTATTCCTGGTATTTAATTTTCTTCAAAACCACTCCAACAATACTTATTAAGATTGACCCATTTCAAATATTCACTTATATCATCTCCTTATTTAAAAGGCTACCTGTTATATTTATATTTATACATAATATATAAATCCTATTACTGCAATCTCTAAAGATTGGCTTTCTCTATTGATTAATATGTTTAATGCATTAATATTTCCATGATATGCTTAATGTTCATTTAAATAACGTAATAAAAGCAAGATTTAATAAATCAACTAAAATAATATATAATTGATCATACTGTAGCAACTTAAACTTCCATAAATTAAATATTCTCTAACAAAAAATTAAAAACAGGTTCTCCCTCAAATCTTTCAGTAATCATAACATAATTATTTGTGTCTTCATAGATTCTTTTTATTTTGAGTATTGAATGATTCTTGCTTTCATGCAATAACCCAAAAGTATGTTCTAAATAGGGTTGTTACTTATTGATTATGTAAGCAGAAAACTATTGCCGATTCTTGTATATATATAGATTTTCTTACTTTTTTCTTAATTATAGAGTAGAAATCCTGGAATAACTATTCCTATAGACGATATTTGACTAGTAAGTTTTTCATAATACAAAATTGCTTAATCTAATTATACCAATGTTTTTAGATATCGAAACTACTAAAGAATAACATAATATCATTGCCAAGAAGTAAAAGGTAACACTTTTTATTATTATGAATCAGTTGTTTTCTTTTGATTTAATATTGGGAAAGTTAAATGTAATGACTATCGATTTTCAGAACATTAGGATATAAGGTGCATTATTCTTTTATTATGACTCCATCAAACATAACAGTTAAATTCTGGTTAAGAAGGATTTATGTAAGTCTTGGGAGATGATTCCATTCTTTTTAGTGCTAACTTGTAATTAAACTTGAAGCCAAATTCTTGAATTCATTGTAATCGAAGTTATCTTCATGTCTATGTCCAAATTCATTAGTATTTGTTCTTGATGGTCTGGTTATAAAGTTTTGCATTTTAATTAATGTTTATTTGTTGTGGGAAGAAATAAAAAATTGAAATTGCTAACTTAAGATCATAGCCATTACAAAGTGTAAAAATGTAATTGTAGGAGGATAGTATCGATGCCAAATTTGAATTTCACTTAGATGTATATTATTAACTTAAATATAGAAATTTTAATGGAAATTGATTAGAGATGCAACAGGAGAAGAATTGGTTAGATAATAATAGAAATAGAAAGAGAAGGAGAGATTGAAATTAGAATAATAACAAAAGTTATAAAAGGAAGATGAAGAATTGTAAAGGTTATAAAGTTAAATTGAATAACAAACATTTGTTTAAAAAGAAAAGAAGTAATTACATGATTAATTGAATGATCTTTTCACAAAATTGAAAAAGGATTATTTGATAACTTAAATTAAGAATGAATTACTTAAAAAAATGATAGAAGATGATAAAAAATAGATGGGTGAGATTACAAACTATGAATTTTCTAAAAGTTGAATTCAATTAATTATATATTATAAAACTTAGAAATCTTATATTATAATTAGATTAAGAAATTGAGAAGAGAATATATATAATAAATATAAATAGAGATTAAAAATTATTTCTTGCTTTATTTTCAGAAAAGTGATGTTCATTTATATAAATTTTATTAAAAGATATGAATAAATAGCGCAAGACACAATTGGAAGAATTATAGGAGAAAGAGAGTAGCTTTGGTAGAGTATTCAAAGTGGCTGGTCCATGTAAATAGTGTTTTTTAATTTAATAGTGGTGGTTGCAGAGAAAATGGCAGGTGCTAAAATGTTTGAGTTAGTTAAGGTTGGTTGGGACAAACTAGTTGGTGAAATCATTAAATTAGAAGGAGATAATGCATCTATTCAATGTTATGAAGATACATGTATTCTCAATGACTAAATATGATTAGCTGGTTTGACAGTGGGTGATCCTGTTATGAGAACAAAGTCTCCTCTTTCTGTTGAATTAGGACCAGGTATAAATAATTATATATCTAGGTATTTTAACCTAAATTTTCGATGGAATTCAAAGACCATTATAAGTTATTGCAGATTAATCAGCTTCCATTTTTGTGCCTAGAGGTGTTGATATTCCAGCTTTGGATTAAGATAGAGTTTGGGAATTCAAACCATCTTCACTAATTAAAGTGGGTTCAATGATATCTGGAGGTGACATTTATGGATCAGTGTTTGAGAATAATCTTTTTGATGAACATAAGATTTTGACAGCCCCCAGAGTCTAAGGTAGAGTCACTTATATTGCACCTGAGGGAAATTATACACTAAAAGATAAAGTTATTGAAGTAGAATTGGATGGAAAGAAACATTCATATGGAATGAGTCATTTCTGGCCTGTCAGATAACCTAGACCTATCATTGAAAAATTATAAGGTAATACACCACTCCTTACTGGATAAAGAGTTCTTGATGCACTCTATCCATCAGTCTTAGGAGGTACATGCTGTATTCCAGGAGCTTTTGGATGTGGCAAAACTTGTATCTCTTAAGCACTCTCTAAATATTCAAATTCTGAATGTATCATTTACGTTGGATGTGGAGAAAGAGGTAATGAGATGGCTGAAGTGCTAAGTGAATTTCCAGAATTAACTATTCAAATGAAGGGTAAAGAAGAAAACATTATGTAACGTACTTGTTTGGTTGCTAATACTTCCAATATGCCAGTTGCAGCTAGAGAAGCTTCAATTTATACTGGAATTACATTAGCTGAATATTTTAGAGATATGGGTTTTAATGTATCTATGATGGCTGATTCTACTTCAAGATGGGCAGAAGCCTTAAGAGAAATCTCTGGTAGATTGGCAGAAATGCCTGCAGATTAAGGTTATCCTGCTTATTTAGCATCAAAACTTGCCTAATTTTACGAAAGAGCTGGAAGAGTTAGATGCAGAGGTTCACCAGATAGAGAAGGATCCATTACTATTGTCGGTGCTGTGTCACCCCCAGGAGGAGTAACTTTTAATTTCTTATTGTCTATAGGATTTTACAGATCCTGTTACTACTGCCACTCTTACTATTGTTTAGGTCTTTTGGGGATTAGATAAGAAATTAGCATAAAGAAAACATTTTCCATCTGTTAATTGGACAATTTCCAATTCAAATTATGAAAAAATATTGGAACCATATTTCAATTCCTTTGATCCAGAGTTTACTCATTTAAGAGTTATGTTTAAATAGATCTTACATGAAGAATCAGAATTAAATGAAATTGTATAACTTGTAGGAAGAGATTCTCTTTCTGAAGATCAAAAATTATCTTTGGAAGTAATTTAATATCAATATAATTTTAAGATTGCCAAAATTATAAGAGAAGATTTCTTATAACAAGATGCCTTTAGTAAATATGATTATAATTGTCCACTTTATAAAACAATTGGTATGATGAGATGCATAGTATCCTTTTTTGAATGTGGTAAAAAAGCAATTCTTGAATCTTCAGGAGATGCTAAAATTACTTGGAATATAATATTGAACTAAACTAAACCATAATTTGTCAAATTATCATAAATGAAATTTGAGGTAAAATATTTATTGTATATATTTTAGGATCCAAAATAACCAAAATAAGAATTAATGAATTATTTCACTAAATTTGTTGATGAAATTAAATCAGCATTTAGAAATTTAACAGATAAATGAGTATTATTAAAATGACATAAAAATTATTATTCTATTCTTAGATTTAGAAATCAATAAATTAAATCTATTAAAAAAAAATTCATGTTTCTCTTTAAAAAAATAATAGATTAAATATAATTTATTAATATTTAATAAATTAAGTCAATATTATTAATCTATCTATTATTTAATTCTAAATTAAATTATATAAATATGTCATTAGTTAAAGAACAACTATATTTCTAAAATAAGACAAAATCAAATTCAAAAATAACAACTTAAAATATTAGTTTATCTATTTTCTCAATCTATTCATATTCGTTTTAATATATATATATATATCATGGATATTTATTAATTATTAAACAAATGGCATAACCATTTTTTGTACTGTATAACTATTACAAATATATATCAAAAATCATCAAATCTAACCTTCTTTTAATTCTGATTAAAATTAGCCTGATTATGAAATAAACTATATTTTGTCTCTTTCTTCAAGATAGTCTTTTTAGATTCAAGTGATATTATTTCATAAGAATCACTCTTTAAAGGCCTGTCTTTATTAGCATTTTCGGTTAATTGAATTGAATTTACTCTATCCAAATCTCCTGTCAGTTCCTAAATTTCTAAACTACTTGCAGCTATTTTATTATAGTCTTTTCCAGTATCGTCTATTATTTATGATTAGTAATTTTAATAAGATAATATTCTCTTATTTTCCTTATTCGAATCATTACTCCTTATACAGGGGTTGTTATTTAATGTTTAAAACGCTTTCTTTTATTTAATCTTTTATTACAACATAAGCTCGACTTTTTCATCACTTTAGGCTTAACAACAACTTGATCCCATATGTATTTAATTAATAATAAATTATATTTCCCTCTATATAATTTCAATCGCAAATATCATATGTCTACAATTTATTCATTTGTTTATATTTACCATTAGACATTCTTTGAAATAAAATATTTATAAAAAATATACTAATATCCAAAATTTTAGCTATTCTAATGTGATTAAGAATGAGATTATAGAAAAAAAAAAAATAAGCTCATTTTTCTCTTCAAAAACACTCAAGTTTGCATTGAAAATTTTGTTTTATGATTAGCCATTCTAAATAAGCATTATAAGAAGTAGATTAGTTGGAAATGATGCTCATCAATGCATAATTTTCATAATCTAAATTTTAGCATTTTGTTCGGGGGGAATTAATGTTTCTATTACCTTTTAAGATTTTACAAATTTGGTTCCTCAAATTTTGTGATATTTTAGGAGTTAAAGAGAAAAAAAAAAAATTTTCCAAAAAATTATTCTTTCCAAAGAAACTCATATTTTATGTTTTTTTGGTATAAAAACATATTTTTTTTGAATATGACTCTCCCATTTTATTATTAATTGAAGGATGGAACTTTTATTGATTAGAATGATAATATCTAGTTAATATTGATTATATTCTAAACTTTATAACCTACAACTAAGTATTAAAAGTATTTATCAGATATATTATTATGTTCAATAAAACACAAAAATACATTTTAACTTATAATTTCTATAATCTCTATCAATTTTCAAGATAAGACATAGTAAATATCAGGTTGGATAATTAAATTATCTATCTTTATTTTTCACGAGACTATCATGAATAATAGATATCAGATTTACTAAAATTTTAAAATGTAAAATTATATACCAAAAAAATCTTATTATATAATTCACTTAGTGATTATACTATTTTATTTCAATTTAATAATAAATCCTTAAAGTTTATAAATAATATTTATTAATTAAAATAATTAAATAACTCATTTACAAAAAATTATTCTTTAGATCATTTACCTTTTTTTATTATACATCCTTTTTATATCAAAGGTCTCTAAATATTTTATATTTATAATTGGATATGTAAATCTTCTTAGGCATCAATTATCAATCTCTTGCATGAAAATGATGAAATCTATATGAAATTACAACCTAATAAATTATGTTTATTTTCTATTGGATGATTATTTTGAATATAATTAGTTAATTAAAATATAAATATCTTAATTAGGTAAATAATATTTTAATTTACAGAATTTTTTCTAATTTTAATAATTTATCATGAAAAGTAAATATTTTATTCTCATAATTTTTATACTATATATTTATTTTTTTATATTTGCAGCCCATTGTCAAGGATCTTGTAGAGTATTCATTCTAATTCATATTTACCTATTCAGATTATATATCCTTAATGATGTTGTTAAAATTCCTCCTTTATTTTGAATTAGAATGGAAAACTTGAAGACTTAGGTTCTAATGTACACTCTTAAAAATTCATATAATTTATATAATAAATTTTATAAAATACAAAATAATGAAATCAAATTTTATTCTTTGAAATATTTGTCTAATTAGTCTAATTCGTCTAAATTCGATATTATTTATCTTAAAAGATCTATAATTTGAGAATAGAACTGAAAGAAATAAGAATATTTCTTAAAATAATATCTATATAAGATACTGAAAGAATTAAGTTTAATTTGATATACTAAACAAGAGTAGAATTTTTATGAAGATTAGAATATTCAAAAAAAGTTAATAAAATACGATTTCTATATTAAAGATATTTTTAGATTATGGATGGTTTAAAGTATAGAAGGATTTAAAAGAATGTTATTGCAAATAATTATTATAATCAATACTACATTCTATTCATTCATTTAAAACCATTTTGGATAACTTTCTTAATTCCTACATATATAAATCTGTAGCTGCATAGCTTTATCCCTTTAACGCTCTAGCCAAATCCTATATTATTTCAACAGCCACAATTTCATTTAAAGTTTTCTTAGGTATATTCAAACTAAAAAATAGTTAAACCAAACCATATACCTAGAATTAACATTACCCACTTCAATACTAGATCTTTGAAAAGACAATCTACCTGGAGAGTGTTTTGAATATTGCTTAATTCTTATTGGAGATTATTATTATGAATTTTTCTATGCTTTAGGTGATTAACTATTTCTGAAAATGGATTGATATGGATTCAATTAAGATTCCTTAGCTTTTTGAAGTACTGTTTTTTGATTGTCAAATTTAGAGTTAAACTTTTCTCTAACATCTTTTCTAAACATATCTAACTCTGCAAATTTCTAATTACTCAAAATAAAGGATCCCTAATGCATAGTTTAATAATAATAATATATATTTATATTAACAGATAATTATATTATTTATTTTTTCATAATAAGTTAATGTATGATATGGAAATATTGTAAGTAATTTTCAAATTTAATGAGGAACAACATAAAAAATGAATTAAAGAATAAATAGAATCAATTAATTTTATATATATTATGTAAAATTGTAATAATATATTGAGGTGATAAAAGTTCTTGTTTAATTATTCTGATTTCATTTATATTATAGTTAAGTATTCAATGTGAGGGTATTTTATAGGGAATTAAGGAAATTCGTTTTTATTAATTTCTAAAATGAAAATAGCTTTGATACTAATTGCTATAACTTTAGTATCCGCAACATCAATTTCACCATATAATAAATTGAACTATTCAAAATAAAGATCTATGACAGCTGTTTTAGCTGAGGTTGAGTCTAAAATATAAGCTAATTCTCCATTAGATGCAGTTTTAAATGTTTTAAAATAATTCAAAGAAGCAGTTAATGTTGAATAAGTAAATCATGATCAAATATTTAATATTGAATATAGTGAATGTGATTCAGAATTTGAATTTAGAAATAAAGAAGTAGAGGATGCATCAAACGTAGTCAGAGATTCAACATCCTAATTGAATGTCTGTAAAACCTCAAAAATTAGAACCACTAATTAATAAGAAGTTAATTAATAATAATTATTCACATATCAAGAACATTTAACATTAATACTTACAACTGCTGAAAATGAATAAGGATATTTCAAAAAAAGAGGTAGAGACTATGAAGATTCTCTTCATGCTATTGATGAAGCACTTGATATCTTATCAGGTATTGCTAATGGTAAAAGAAGCTTCGCTGAGTTAAGCAGTGTAAGTAAATCAATGTTATAGACATCATTCAATATTTAGTAAACCATTAATTATGCTCCAATCTTTTATGCCTTTACATAATTAGCATCATAATAAGATTTAGTTGACCCAAGTCAAATTGAAAGAGTAGAATAATTATTACTTTAATTGAGAGAAAATGTACATGACAATTATAATGAATTCACTACTTCAAATGCTGCTGCTGTTGCTGCATTTAATGATTAGAAGGATAGAATCAATATTATTTTAAATAGATTATCAAATTAAGAAGAAAGATTATAAGATAAATTAGATCATTTAAATTAATGTATTGGAACTCAATCAGCAATAGTATAAGCAGCCTCAACAAAATTAGAGAGAAATCAATAATTATGGGATTAAGCAGTTGCCTTATGTAACACTTTCGAAGCTGAATATTTTACTGCCACTATGGCTAGAAGATCAGAAATTTCCTTGATTACTGAATTAGAATAACAAGTTATTAAAAGGTTTTAGGTAGTCAAAGAATAAAAACCTGCTAGAATGCTGAGATATGCCAAACTTAAATATTGATTAATATACATAAATATCATTATGAAGAATACATTTTTCACATTCAAAAATCCTAACAAGGTCTACTCTATAAAATAAGAAATTATGTATTTACAGAATATTGATTTTTTTCTATATTATGTATTATAGATGAAATACTTCAGAAACACTCTTTTTTTAAAATATATAATTATAGAAAATAAAACATTGTACATAAATGGCTGATACTTAAACTCCTGATGATATTAGTAAAGTGATTCCAACAAATCCTTAATTTCAAGTGTCTGGTGCAGTTTAGAATCAAATTTAGATTCCAAACCAAAATCCACAAGTTTAATAGTTACCATAATAAGCATATGTTGTATATGCTCCTTAGATGTACTAACCAAGACCTTAATTTAATCTTCATTAAGTTCAACCTATCCAATACCCATAATTTCAACATCCACAACACATGATTCCACCTTAATAATAACCACTCTTACCATACTAATAATAACCATAAATGGTTTAACCATTACTTCCAGCACTAAAATTAGAAGAAACTTTAAAGCATGATTCCTTAAGATTGGCTGGTAAAATGGAAAGAAGATTCTTTAACTTATAAGTTCTCAGCTTTTTCTTACTTTTTTAAGCCTTTGCTTTAATTCTATGTTGTTGTTCTTATCGCAATGGCTTTATTGAATTCCAGTATAACCTTTATGGTAGATTTAAAGTTACATTTTACATTTTCACAGTAATCATGGCACTTTCACTATTATATTCATACACAGTTTCAAAGAAATTAAAAAATAATTAATTTAGCAAAGTTCTTTGTGTAGTCTATGGATTAGCTTATGGTTTTTTTATTTAGGCTTTGTATTCTTCCACTTATTATAATTACTAATATTATCAATATGGAAGCTATTCTAATTTTTTGGAATCAGATGGTGGTGATGTTATAGTTATAATAGTGTTTAGTTTTATAAATCTAGAAGTTCTATCACTATTTGCATATGCAATGCAAGAATTAGATCAATTAAGTTTTAGAAGTACATTTTCATTTTTATTATTAGATTCCTTCTGGTACATTATGATTCCTTCAATTACTTATGGTGGAATACTATTTTCTCTTTATTACCAATATGGTATCTTATGTGGAATTATTTGTTTTTCAATTGCATTTGGATTCTATTTACAATTCATCCTTTCTAGAATGATTCAATCAACTAAAGTATTTATTTATAATAATCCTTTAGTTTAATTTGAGATCTGATGATGGTAAATACTCAGCTGTTTTACTAAGCTTTTTAATTTTAGTTCCATTCTTTGATATCGGATTTAACAAAAGTGATGAAATGGTCTAATAATCTTAGAGCTAAAACTCTTAGTAAAAAAATGTACAATGAGGAAAATCATAAAACAATATTCATAATTTATATCACTTGCTTATTATTCATTATTATTAATATATTAATCTAATGACTTCACAATAATAGACATAAACCTTTGTTCCTATTTTATTATCTTAAGAAGAATATAATCAAATTCTTAACCAACCTCCCTACTTGCATCAATAATTATTTCAAGAAATATACTAAAGGAAATAATAATAAACTTAGTTATAATCATAAGAGTATATGAATCCATATGAATAAAAATAATAAAATTTGAATTAGTCCTCAAGCTCAAATTCTATAATTAATATACCATAAATTCCAACTCGTCCTAACTATTCTAATTAAGTTAATTAGTAAGGAGTACCATATCTTCCTCAATACATTTACTATTAGTAACAATAACAAAATCAAAATTAAGTTTTAAACATGAACTCAAATCCTTTAAAACATTAATTGATTCAAAGAGCTGGTGAATTGGAGCTTAAATACTTTTATGAATGGTCTACATATTTATTTATGCTTGAGATTTGTATTTCACTATTTGTTAACACAATTTCTGCTATATTCAATTTGGAATTGGTTACTTATAACTATTAATGGAATAGTGTATTATGGATAATTTTAATATTATTCTTAATATTGAATTTATTTGTTTTAACTAATCCATCCTATGTAACTTATGTATAAATATTATATTTATTTTAGTAAAATAATCAAAAAATCTTATATTGGATACATGTTATTTTATATGTTTTATTAATGTAAGGACTTCAAACTGTAGTTTCTGGTAGTGCTCGTATTTTCTCTTGGCATACAAATTTTTTTTATTACTTTTATTTGTTAATATGTGTTGAATTTATTTCAGTTAGAATTGCTATTAAACGTAATGGAATAAGGAAACCTATTCAAGAACATATGGGTTTTTTATTAGCTCCACCAATTATTACTTACATTTTAGAGTTAATTAGTTAAGATTATTTCTTTATTTATGTTCCTTTATTAATTTGGGTTATTTTAGTAATATTAATTGGAATGGGATAAATTTTAATAATCAATAAGTTAGTTGAAAAAGGATATGTATATATTTAATATTATATTTTTTAGAACAAATTTTAAACAAAAGATGTTTTTGCAATGGCCATAAGTATTCCAATTTTAATGATTAGTCCTTTCTTTGAAGATGAATGATTAAAAAAATAATTAAATATATTAAATATATTATTTATATAATATTATAATAGTTTAATAAAAAGAAATTTTATCAAATTGAACTTCTGTAATAATCAATAATAGATTAGAGTTATCTTATTTCAACAGGTTTTTCTAAATAAAATTTCATCCCAACTTATTAACATTTTGGAAATTCTATTTCTTTTTGATAAGCTGAACAAGCAACAATAATAGGTGATTTTAAATCTTTTTCTTCACAATATGAAAATATATGTTTAGAGGCATTAATTCCATTAATTCCTAACATTTCTAAATCCATAAATATTAATCCGTACATATTTGAATTACAATAATTGCATTTTTCTTTTAATTTAACTTTTTCTATTGCTTTATATCCATTTATTGAATAATCAATTTAATGAACTCCTCTAGATAAAATAATAAGGAATACATTCTTATTAATAACATTTGCAAAGCATCAATATTAAATTAAGTATCATCTACAATTAATATTTTAGTACAACATTCAATAGAACAATTTATTTATTTTTTTGGTTAAGTCACTATAATTTAAATCTCTTTTGAACTTTCATCATCTTCATTTAGATTCTCTATCATTTCACTATCACTTAAAATTGATTGTTTATTATTGTTTGATCTAACTATTTTTGATTCTTAACTTTATAGATCTTAAAGATGAATTGTAAATGAAAAACATGATCCTTTATGATATATTGATTCAAATCTTAATCCATCTCCCAATTACTATGCTATTTTATTACTAATTACTAATCCTAATCCAACTCCTTAAGCATTTAATTTCTTGCTTTCTTCAGAGTTTATCTTTCCAAAAGCCTTCATTAACATCTCTTTATCCTATTCTTGTACTCCTATACCTGAATCGGATACACTTATTTCAATTACATAGTCATCCAATAATTCTACTTTTAATGAAATATATCCTTCTTAAGTAAATTTGAATGCATTTCCTATTAGATTGATCATTACTTATTTTATTCTGTTTTAATCCTATTCAATTATATCTGGACAAACAGATTGATATTATAAAAATAATTTTAATTATTTTTTCTCAGCTTATAGATTAAACATTTATAAACATTCTTAGCATAATAATTTTAAATTAAATCTTTCCATTTTTAATTAAAATTTATTTGCTTAAATCTATGCCAAATCCAATAAATCATTACATAGATTTAATAAATATCTTGAATTATCTATTGAATTTTGAATATATAAATTATTTTATTCTTTTGCAACATGTTCCAACATTGTTATCATACAACCTAAAGGAGCTCTAAATTCATGAGAAACAAATGATATCATTTTTGATTTTTAATTATAATGACTTTATAATTATTTAATGTATTTCTTGTAACTTAAATCTCTGCAAATTATTGTCATTACTTTCTTTATTTAAGAATTTACGTATACACTCACTTCTAATATAGGAGCTTATTAGGACTATTGATATGTATAATATTACTTAAGATAGGTGTTTAGATTATTAAACATAAAATAGATAGCTCTCCTTATTTTATTTAATCCAAATTTTATCAAGCATTTATTATAAAGTCATTTCTTTCAATCCTTATTATGAAATGTATTGACTTTTTGAATTAAATGATAATGATCCACTATATTACTTTATAGAATTTTATATATCAATTCCAATACTTTTTATTGATTACATAGATTTCTTAGTTTCTACTTTTTCAATCTTAAAATAGTTTTAGTATGCAGTTTATATTTAAGTTTCATCTGAAATCTAAAACATTGATTTAGCAGATCTATTTATAAATGTTGGCTATTTTTCATAACCCTATTCATATAGAATTACACCTTCCCTTATCTAATTGAAACATAAATTCTTAGTATAATTATCTTAAAATAATTCATGTTAACTCATTTCTTTCCATTTATATCTTTCTGAATTTTAAAATATCTCTATTAATTTTGGAGATTACTATTATTTAAAGGCATCATAATTCATAATTGTTAATATAATATAGATTGCAGCATAATGAATTACAGTCCAGATAATTTATAGATCTAAATGATCATACATTCTGAATATGCAATAGGATCCAATAAATAGTAAATTTAGGAATAGGATCCATAAATTACATTAGTTCTTAAACATTAAGTATGCATAAAATAAAGAGTGAGCAAAGCCAAATTATGGAATCTGAATTTCTATATGTAAAGTGTATGTCAACAATATTTGTATCATTATTATCCATTTTTTTTCTAAAGTCTAATTGTAATAGATAATTATTATAGTAAATATTACCAATGCAAGTATTGTAAGATTCTTATAAGTGTAAGAATCAACAATTTATTATATTAGTTGACCCAATAATAAAAAACAATTAATAATTAAGGCATGTGATATTTTAATATTCATTATATTAATGTCACTACAGGCATATACTACATCGTTTTTACCCAAGCTCTGATATCATTAACACCACCAAAAGCATATGTTCCAGTAACAGCTCCAGTAAAAGCATTATTAAACTCATTCTTTCCAACATACTCTATCTCAACCGCATTCTAATCTTTTATTGTAAAATAATCAAAACTAACTTCATCCTAATTTCCACCCAATATAACAATAAGATCTCTCTTTTATGCTGAATCTAATATAATAATAAATATTAATTAACCTGCTACTTCAACTTGTTTCAAAACTACAATTTAAGAACCTGCTCTTGGAACACTTAATTTTGTTTTTGATTTAATATTTTCAATTGATTTTTTTTCAATATCCATTATTGCAATTTTATCAGTTACTTTCTCACCATTAGAACCTCCAAAAACTAAAATATGCTTATCTGAAATTGGTAAACAACATGAACCCAAATGATTTGTTACATTAATACCTTATCTATATTTAAAATCTTTCCATTTCATTGTCATTAGATCAAAACATTCTACTTTATTACTATGGAGTATTTTCTAATAAAAATTCTATAATATTCTATACAGTTTCTTCATTCTCAATAGTAAATCCTCCATAAACATATACTTTATTATTCATAACAAAGCCTGAAAATCCAGCTCTTGCTTGAATCATAGAATCCACTACTTCCCATTATTATTCTCCATTTTAATTCACAGGTCCTTTCTCATCATAAATTTCACATTAATTTAAGAGACCCCAACCTTCTTAATTTATGAGTTAACCTCCAACAACCATATATAAATATTAATTTGTTGTTCCTGGTTTTAATAATTCAAAAACTTTATGATTGTGTCTTGCAAAATTCATTTGTGGTATTACAGGTACTTTCTCTCCTTCAATCTCATTCCCTTCTTCATCCTCTCTTATTAATCCTTATCTCCACAATTCATATTTAATTCTGTGTCCTTCCATATGATCATGTACCTAAATTCTAAAGCAAAAGGTGGAGCTAAAAATTTATTTATTTTCTTGATAAGCACCACCAGTAATGAGGAATTCTGCTCCATTCTATTTTTTTATATATGATGAAAAATAAGGAACACATGGTGGCTAATCTTTACTTATGAAAGCCCATCCAGCTAAAGAATATAGTATATTTTACGTTTTACATCTCCTGTAGCAAAATTATATCCAATAGATGGATAAAATTGCTCTTCTTACTTTTCCAAATCAATAAAAGGTGGATGAATAACAGGAGTGAATGTAAAATGATTTTATTCCTATTTCATTTTTAATATAAATTAATAACAAATCATTAAAATTTGATTGTAATATATATTTGAAAGAGAATTATTTTATATATATTTATATGAGCAATTTACTTTATTTTTTTATTTAAATATATATAGAATCTAATTTTTGATATCTTATTTAAGATATAGAGTATAGAATATCTTAAATAATTATTATACTTATAATATTATATATTAAATCTTTCATTAATGCATAAAATGTATAAATTATGTTAAATAATATTTTGTTGCAAAACAGAGAAAAAGATGAGAACTAAACTTTAAGAAATTTAGAGTCTTCCAATTCCCAGAATTCAACTTCAATTGAGACAACTAATTTATAATAGAATTCAAGTCTTAATTTAATTAATTAAGATGCTGGCCCTCGTCATACTTTTTCTCAGTTAGATTAAATTTATTAACCCTTGTTACAACATAATTAATAACTATCTAGTCTAAATGATTTACAAAAATAGAGATTTCTTATTTAAATAACAGGTGTTTGGATGTTTTAGGAGGCTATATAAATAATTATGTCTGTCATAACTATTTTAGATTTTAACTATGATAATTTGTTTTATAATTTTGATTAGGAAAAATATCGAGCACCATTATATTTATTTTTTCTGATATCTACTTCATAATTATTGTTAATCAGATTCTATAAACCATTTAGATGTGTACATATTAAATATAATAAAAAAAGAAACACTATGCTTTTTTCATATTCTTGATTTTCACAATATCATATGCTTTATGGATTAGTGGTCTCATAACTGCAGATCATTCAGATATTTGGAATATAGAAAACTCAGTCTAGATCGGTTTTGCCATTTTTATAGGTATTATATGTAATTTTTTGACTTTAATTACTATCTAATTTCATTTTTCCTTGACCGATAAATAGATAACATTTTTAAGTAATATAATATAATATTCTTAGGAACAATTAAGTATGTTGTTATTCCACCATTTATTTATGCATTTATATTTTAAATATTCAATCCTTTTGATTATACTGCAGTACTTATTTTATGGATGTCTACAGAATTATGGGCATTAACATTTGGAGGTTTATATTTGTACAGTATATTATAAATAATAAATGGTAAAGTAAATAAATATCAATTATTTTTAGTTTAATCTAAATTAAGATTAAACAATCTCTGCAGCACTATTGGCATTTATCAATATGTTTTTTCCATTTGGACATTTTTGATTAAATAACATATGTATAGTATGATTATCTAAAAATATTATTATTAAAAATATATATTGATTTTCAAATAAGTCTTGTTTTT